CTGTTTTCGACTCCTCCTTAGGCTAGAAATAATAAGGTGAGTAATACAGTATGCAAATAAAAATACTGTAGCCTTTAAGAAGTAGAAACCAGCCCCTTTAACGTGCACGCTTGCAGACAGCACAACATGTGTGCTTAAGCATTATGTGTCGTTAAATAAAGGTTTCAGCGACAGAATAAGTGACTCACACAGTAAACTGTATGTCATATTTAGAGAGGACATCAGGGTTCATTTCAAAGCCTGAAACCGTGGATTATTTATAGTAGTATTTTGACAGGTAGTTGATGTAGTAGCACAGAAATTCAGATAGACATGGGTGGAAAAACAGCAGCAGGATTACTGTATAATATATTGAGTTTTAGCAGCAGCAGCAGAAATAGGAGGTTCTAATAGTACACGTAAGGGCTTGAGAAAAAACTATATTAACATTGTTTTGTATTTTTTTTCTAATACCTCTATAAGAGGTACACTGATATTCACTGATATTGTATATCATTTGAGAACAGAATTGACAAAAAGGCAAATAATAGAATAAATAGATAAACGTTTGTTTTATATCATTGTATACAAATCATAACACTTTTACACAATGATGTATTCATCAGTAATGTGGATATAAAGTAGACAAAAAGCAAATAGTAGACGGCTTGAACAGCATTTATTTTATATCACATTAAAAAAAATTGAAAATATCACTGTGGAAAAATCGTAACATTTTTCCACAGTGATATTTTCTAAAAATGTTCATTAGTAATGTGGATATAAAGTTTATAAATGCAAACAATGGAACAACTGAAACAGTCTGGAAGAATACAAAATTAAAATCAGTGTAATGTTAATAGCAAAAACCATAGTCATACAGTATCAAAAATAGTTTGTATTGTTATTTGTTTGTATTGTTATTTGTTTGTATTATTATGTGTTATCTTAATTGTTGATAAAGTTGAGTTTTACCTGAGAACACCGGGTGCCACATTTCTCTATCCTCTCCAGTTCTGAGCTTTGTTCTGCTGCAGCTCCACTCAGACCCCAGAAACACTGAGACATCAGCAAGGCGACCCACAGGAACATGTTCCCCATCCAGCACCAAGACACTTCTTCTTCTAATGCTCTGCTTCTCCTGGTCCTGTTTCTTGCCCTTTATACTTTTCTTCTTTTCTCCTTTTGCAGGTAAGAATAAGTTTGGTTTGGTTTGCCAGGTGATAAAGAGGCTCTCCTGTTGACTTGGTGATGATATCCAGTGGTGAGTTATATACTAGAGCAGAGTTAAGCACACAGAGTGAGAGGTGCAGATTTAAATATTCCTCAGTGGAGGCGTGGCATCTGCTGTTAAGAAGCAAACCCAGCAAACGCTTTCTCTCTTCCAAGCACATCCCCATTTAATGTTTATAATTTGCACTCATCATGACACACTTTTTTGAAGTCTGAATCAGGGTTTCCTGGAATGAGATAACATTTCACAACTTTTTGTTTTCATTATTGCTGAAATTCATCTGGAAAAATCCCATTTTTAGAAACTTACCTGGTGCAACTTTTAGATTTGCAGTAAATAAAAACACTCACTGTTAAATCTGGGTAAAGTCAATAGGGTGAGGATTAAGGAACAGTAGCTGAAACCTAATACAAGCAGGGTCTGAGTGGATCATGTGTCCCTAGAACAAAAGCTTTCACTCAAGGAAAAGTCAACCATAACAGTTGCCCCTGACATTTAACTCCCCCACAAAAGAGACTTCCTCTTGGCCTTATGCTACCCATGCCCTAACATGGGCACATTTCAGCTGAATCACGGTCAGACTGGGGGAGTCTTTCATATCTCCCCCATATTTTGCGATTACTGGTTGTCTGTCTCCTTGGGAGCAAGCTGTGTATGTATCACCTTTTTATTCAATATGACAAGCTTGTTCACACATAGTTACTTATTGACACATGCAACATATACATTAGCATTTATGAATAGCTGGTAGGTCAAGTATTGTATTGTTGGGGTTTAGAGCATTTTCCATCTGAAATGGTATCTAATTTTGAGTAAAAACAACAATATGATCGCAGAAAAAGTGAACAAAAAAAGCTACATTTGGGACCTCAAAACCATAACAATGACCCTGTTAACCGTTAAAGAAAATTACATTACATTACATTTAGCTGATGCTTTTATCCAAAGCGACTTACAATAAGTACATTCGACCAGGAAGACACAACCTTGAAGAAAACAGAATCATATAAGTACATCAGGTTTCATAGAGCCAAACATTTCAAGTGCTACTCAACTGGCTATAGATAAGCCAGTCCTTTGTTAGTATATAAGTGCTCTGTTCGCAGTTCTTTGTTAGTAATTCTATCGCTCGAAGTGGAGTCCAAAGAGATGAGTTTTCAGTCTGCGCCCGAAGGTGTGTAAGCTTTCTGCTGTCCTGATGTCAATGGGGAGCTCATTCCACCATTTTGGAGCCAGGATAGCAAACCCACGTGTTTTTGCTGATGGGAACTTGGGTCCCCCTCGCAGCGAGGGTGCAGCGAGTCGTTTGGCTGATGCAGAGCGTAGTGCACGCGCTGGGGTGTACAGTTTAACCATGTCCTGGATGTCAAATCTTTTTTAGGGCTTAAAATGAATCATTCAGTAAATCTGAACCCTTATATAAACTTACATGGTTAATGGGTTTTTTATCTTATTATATCGTCCCCCTTTTGCTTTTACATTCTTCGTGTGGTAGTATTTTCTTTCGATACACACGTCATGCATGATATGTTCGTCATGTTCTTTTGTTTTCATTCATAAATAATACTTCTAATGCCAGGGGAAGCCTGCTGGTTTGCAGAAGAGTTGCCAAAACAGAAGATAAAGGAAAGTCTTAGAGGCAATGTGCGAACTTCCTACTACTCTGATGCTGAGAATGACACTGTGAAGAAATGGTAGCCTTCCAGCACTACCAAGTTAATCCCGAAGTCTGTGTGGCATGTGTCAACAGAGACCCAGCAGTTGGAAGAGATATTGCTTTACTTTTACTGTCAGTCATGCATTTCTTTTAAATGCTGTGTTGTGAAATAACATCATAGCAAGACCATAAAAGAGTTGTTCAATGGGGCCGGATAACAGTCATTGTGTATAACAAAAAAGAAACTGATGGGATAGTCCCAGTTCACGGCCTTAAAATTAGATCTTATCGTTTTCCGTTTAATTTAATTTCAAGTGACGAAATACGGGGGGAAAAGACACAACACAAAGACTTGTTGTAACTCAGTTATTCGTGTGCCTTATACTAGTATCCAGATAATAGGACATGGAGTAGTGAAACACCTAACATATGCCTGGTTTTAATCAAATCAATGACAAAGAAATTACATTCAATTTAGTTGACGCTTTTATCCAAAGGGAATCAGAATAAGTGCAATCAACCATGACAATACAATCTCACAATAGTTAGAAATTAGCTTTCAATAAGCTGAAACATTGTAAGTGCAACCCTAACCCTAACCCTGCATTAGCTTAAAAAACGCGATACCTTATATGTGTTACTTACAAAAGTGAGATGGCAATTCCTTATACAGAAGCAAACAATAGGCTAATATATAGGCATGTTTTAAAGCACAATCTGAAGTAACACTGAAAGCTCAGACCTGTCCTACTTTTGCGTAATAGCTCTATCTACTGGATTCTGTGTGTATTACAACACCCGTCATTACACTTCTCATGGGTTTGGGTGATAATAAAGTTATAAATCTTATATGCTGTTAATAATGAGTCATGGGTTTCCATTGATAATGCGTCACCAAGTGGGTAGTCTTGGCGTTTGGTAACTTGTTAATAAATAATCAAGGAGTTCTGTTTTTATAACCCGCCGGTGCCTACTCATCAAGTCTGCGGTTTCTATGGTAAGTCCCTGTTGAGTGATTCCTCCGCTGAAATAAGTCATAATGTTAGTGGCTGTAAATCACAATGGGTTATTTATAAATAGATGTATGCTCTGTAGCACTTTTTCCCGAAATGTAAGTAGTCATATGGAACAAAGGAGGGGTCTTGGAATATATGGAAGCTAAAATCAAAAGAGTTTTCAATTAAAGAACCGCTTCTTTTTTAGAAAAAGAAGAACTAAAATAAAACGAGGAGTGTCCTACTTGTATAGCAATTTGTTTTCAATTTAGTTGGAAACATAAGGTCAATAATCAAATTAAATTGAAGAAACTCTCAAATACAAAAAAATAAAATATTATTTGTCCATTGTATCCAGTGTTAAATCTGGTATGGATTGGGAGTCAATGGGTCATCATAAGACTTGGAAGCTATTGAAAAGAAAATAATTTATAACAAAAAATGCAGAATCTTGATTTAAATATTCAGGTGGACTATAAGTGTAGCAATACAAAACAAATTCTGCATTCATTTAGAGACCTTAGGTCAAATTACATGGAAGATGTAAATCATCAAATAATTGAAAACCGAGATTTAAGCGTCCTCTAATATATAAGGGCTTTATTGTTATATATTGACTTTGGTTTAGGATCATGCACAAGGCAGGTTTTCTATAGCCTGTATGATAACCGTAGGTCTTTTCCTTTAACTTGCTGTCAGCCGCTGTAAACAGCTCATCCTGCACTCTGAGAATGATCAATATATGGTCATCCTGCACTGCAAAAAACATCAGTCTGGCAAAGAAGTTTAGCCTAGTGGGCGTTGAAATATCTTTTTAAAATGTAATACTAGTTTAAACAAATTAATCCATTCGTGTTCAGTGAAACCGCGTACAGTTTATAAAGCACAGCCATTTATAAAATAATGACTTATCGCTTTTCCTATTGCAGTCCATCCATGGAAAAATAATTTAAATAATAAATAATAAAAGAAAAAAATGAAATTAATGGTTATTCTCACGACACTGAGCTTTCTACATTACTTTATGCTTTTTATAAAATCAAAAATATAGGTATTCTTTATAATATAAGTGTTACGAGACCAAGCATGGAATTAACATTTTTTGCAGTGTGCATCCACGGTTGCGTCACATGACCTGTTAATCTTCAGCGTATTTCCGCGTTCACGACGGCCGAGCTGTTATCAATGATGGGAGTGCAGAGTTGTACCTAATGCATCATAGCGGTGTTCATCTTCTTCTCCCCCGGCTGCAGCTGTTGTCTCCTGTGTCCTGAATGAATGAAGCGTTAACCATCTGAGGTCCTCCTCCTCTTCCTCCGCCTCTCTTCTCCATCGAGCCTGCCGTCGAGCTGGGGGGGAATTCGGGTAAAGGGAGCCGCGGGGGCGCGCACCGGGCCACAGACCCCCCGCCGCGACGAGGAGGCAACATGCTCGGCCGGGTCAAGTGCGCGGTGGCCGGGTTCATGGGTGGCATCATGGCCGGGGGCAGCTCCGGGGGAGGGTGCAACCCTGGCTCCGAGCTGCCGATGAAATTTCCCTATATGAGACCCGAGTTCCTCGGACTGTCCCCTGATGAGATCGAGTGCTCCGCGGACCACACAACTCGGCCCATCGTCATCCTTAGGGAAACGAGGAGATTACCGTGGGCCACCGGATACGCTGAGTAAGTAACCTGACAACAGCTGACCTCCTGTTGTATTGTATCATGACAATGTAAAGCTCATGTGGAGGCCCAGGTGCGTGCAGGTGTCAAACCACAACAGTTGGTACCATTGATTTGCTCCTATACACTCAGACTAATGAAAAGCACTGAGTGGGTGCAGCTGCTGTGACTGACATCCATATTACTAACGTGGTTGTGGTTCCACACAGCATCCTTTTGCTCTTGTTTGTATCATATTGGAAATGCATGAATTAGAAGTGGATGAAAGTATTAAGACATCCCCATCTTCTTTGGATGACACACCCTCTATTGTCCCACCAGCATCTGGTTATAAGCCTACAATTCTTGTGAGTGCATGTTATTGGGCTCTTAAGTTACTCAAAAAAATATTCGATATTTACTCCAGAATGCTCACTTGTCTTAATGCACTTAAATGGCCTTAGTCAGCATCTGCATACTATAGCAGGGAATCACTCTTCTAATCATGTCACATTATACACTGCACTTTTTGCATAGGGAATCCTTCACATATCTGATATAAAAAGGGTAGAGAAACCCAGTGTATTATTCTATTAGAAAATGCATCGTACTCTTAATTTTGTTATTGGAACAATGGTGCAACAACACTCAAGTAGAGGACATGGGTGTATTACAAATTGACTCAATGTTTTATATGAGCTTGGATGTTGATAGGAACCTCTGTTTGCTTAAAGAGTTTTGCTGCCACACTTGGCTATAGTTAGTGTTACAGTGTTACTTTGTTGAATTCAAACTAACCCTTATAGCAGTTGACCGACGAATTCCATGACCTGCAGGTTTCTTTCTGTCTAAAAGAAACTTCCAATCTACCATATACTTCCCATCTAGGAAGTAAACTGACTGTATAAGTTTGTCATACAACCCTACTTCCAACCTTTCAAACTATTTTAACGGAATATTACTGAAAATGTTTGTTAATTGGGTCTTTTCTTACATCCTCCCTCTTTGTCTTTCTTTTTCCATCGTTAACACACACCCACACAGATACAGGCATGAGTAGTCTCTTTGGGACCGGTGTCGTTAATGAGTTCAGCTCGTACCGACATTCATCTGTGATTAAAGCCTCCTGTGTTGTCATTACAGCTGACATTTTGTCTCATAGCTATCCTACTCCCACTTTTCCTCATCATTGTACTCTCTACTGTGTTCAAGAATGAACAGCCAAAGAAACATCTGGAATCAATGAATCACACTGTCAAAGTTGTTTAGACAAAAACGTTGTTGCAGTGCTCATAATTTACTGTTCTCTAAACACTTTCCTTTTCAGCGATTATCTTATCATAGCTTAGCCACGGTAGCTAGCATGTCAAGTTTTAGACTTCCCCAATGTCCATTTGTTACAAAACGATACAGACATAAAGAGTTTGGATGGTGGTGTTTTTTTAGTTTTTTTTCATAAACAAAAGAGCACAAGTGTAAAAATGTTGACTAAAAATGTCATGATGTTAAGCTGACTAGCTTAGCTAATAGTAATTTAGCATTGCCTTTAAAGACCAATGAGTAGTCTTAAAAGCCCAATTCAATTCAATAGCGCATCCACTTTTAACTTGTGGCTCTTTTTCTGCTGTAACAACGTACATTTCCCCTCTGTGGGACTAATAAAGGTATTCTGATTCTCTTTATCATTGACCTGAAACTGATGGGGATTCTGACTTTCTGCCTGGGACTTGTTGAGCACAATATGATGTGTGTAGCGATCAAATGGCTATTTACTGTACCCCAAACATGGTTATTGTCTAATGAGTGAAGTAGAGCCATGATCAAGTCAGTTAGAGAGTGAGTTTTCAGCTAACTCACGAAGAAAACGTTAGCTTAATAGCTACAGCTGTATATTGTAGCATTGACTGCTATTTCAGTCAGCAAATGTAACATTTGTGGGCTTGAAATTAGTATGTGGTTTTCCACCTCTGTATACAAATACTGACACAGTATTTGGACCAGGAAATGATTCAGCATTATCAGTAAACTGCACATTAGTGGTGTTCCTCTCAGTCTTGTGAGAACTACAAATTGAAGATGAAAACCATCCATTCATATGTTACATTCAAATTCTCCCTATTTTTCTTTGTATTTTCTTATCTCCTATGTTCAGGTGGTAACATTAGTGCAATCCTGAACAAAACCCTCAAGACAAAGTACAACATTTTGACTTGTTTAAAGACTGTTTTAGTATTTAACATGAAGCTCTTTTGCTGCTATTGTTCCTTTGATGTTACAAGTTAAACTAAGGCTAAGCTACGAGCCATTGTGCTTTGCCAAATAATTATCTCATCCTTGGAGCCAATGTCTGGCCCAGAATCTGTTGCCGGGGGTAGAGAAACAAAAAGGGCATTAGACGTCTGACAAAAGATGGGGAAATTATGTTTTGTTCCTAATGGGAGGAAGGCTAATTGTTCTGAATAAAACTGGCAGGGAAATGAACTGACTGTCATTCTTCTTGCAAATTGTGAAAAGAGGACAAATTAGATGTAAGAGCATTTTCAAATTACACAAACGCACACACACAATGGCACCAGCTGCACCAAACATGAAATAGAGTTACATAGAACAATCCATTATTGATTGGTCCCATTTTACTGTTGATGTTGTTCGTGAAGCTTTAACCAAGTTAGATCCTAAGAAACCGGCTGGCCCGGACAACGTAGAACCTTTCTTTTTAAAGATAGCTGCAGATTTTATTGCTCCACCTCTCACTACTCTTTTTAACCTCTCCGTCAGCTCAAACACAATTCCAAAATTGTGGAAGTCAGCGTATGTCCTGCCTCTACTAAAAGGTGGGGAGGCCACTTTATTAAATAATTATAGGCCCATCTCTAAATGATCAGTTCTGGCTAAGGTTCTTGAACGCCTAGTGAGTGAACAGGTAAAGGTGTTTTTATGTACAAATGACATCCTGTCTAAACATCAGTCAGGCTTCAGAAAGCAACACAGCACCATCACTGCCACAATGAAAGTGGTGAATGATGTGGCGAGTTATTTAGATAATAAGCAAAGTTGTGCAGCTCTATTTATTGACCTGTCCAAAGCGTTTGATACCGTCGATCATCGCATCTTAAAGCAGAGGCTACTCAGTATCAGCATATCCAGCCATGCAGTGGGTTGGTTTGTGAACTACCTCTCTGAAAGGTCCCAATGTGTTCACTTTGATGGGCTGTCTTCTGAGTGGTTAAACATTACTAATGGTGTTCCTCAAGGTTCTGTTTTAGGTCCACTTTTATTCTCCATATATATCAACAGTTTAGGTGAAAATGTCGATGGAGCAACCTTACATTTTTATGCGGACGATACCGTGATGTACTGTGCAGGTCCCTCCATTAAGGAGGCTGTTGTTAAATTGCAAGCAGTTTTTAACATTATTCAGACTCAGCTCTCTGAACTAAAGCTTCTTTTAAATGTTCATAAAACCAAGGTAATGCTCTTTTCAAAAGCTAAAAAGACACCAGAGCCTGTTTTAGATATTGTAACTACGCAAGGAATAAAAATTGAAGTGGTTACCTGTTACAAATACCTTGGTATCTGGCTTGATGATTGTCTCACTTTTAAACGTCATGTCAATAACCAACCTGCTTAAAAAACTGAGGGTTAGGCTAGGGTTTCTTCTACAGGAACAAGTCCTGTTTCTCGCTTGAGGCGAGGAAAAGGCTAGTCACTGTGACCTTTTTACCTGTGAATGCACCTGCCAATTGCCTGGTCAAGTTAGATGCTGCGTATCACAGTGCACTGAGATTTGTGACAAACTGTAAAGCATTAACCCATCACTGTACCCTGTATGCAAGGGCTGGTTTGCTTTCACTAACTGTACGGAGGCTCAGTCACTGGTACATTTTTATATATAAAGCCATGTTAGGGAAACTTCCATCCTACATCTGCTCCCTGATCTCACGGAAAATTGTAAGTGGCTACTGCCTGAGATCGCATGCTGTGGTTTTATTAAATGTGCCAACTGCTAGGACTGTCTTAGGGAAGACAGCTTTTAGATGCGCAGCTCCTCTGTCTTGGAATAGTCTGCAATTGAAATGGAAACTGAACAATCTGGTGCCACTAAATGTTTTTAAAGCTCGGTTGGATGCTACTCAATCGGAAGCTGTTGGTACCTGCTCATGTGGATAGTAATTGTAAATTGTAATCCCTGTAATGATGCTGTAAGATGTCCTTTTTGTTGTTCTGTTTATGTTTTTATGTTTCATGTGGAACCTACTTGAGCAGGTCTCCCTTGAAAAAGAGATCAATGATCTCAATGGGATACACTGGGTAAATAAAGGTTTGAAATTAAATTAAATTAAATTAAATGCATTGTAGTCTCGGAGGATGAGGATTGTTTTTGCAAATAGTAATAGGGTACAAAAGCTTTCTAGAAACATGTGTTTCCATAAATAATAAGGTTAAACCAGCAGGACATGGTCACACACATATACATAGACACGAGTCATTACATTGCTGTTTGTTTTTTAGTTAACTAATTAACTTCAGCTGTAAGAACTGAGCAATCAGGCGTCCATTTCGAGTAGCTCTTTCCTGGAGCGGCAGCTTCAGCGGCAGACAGGCTAAGACTGACAAAGACATTAGAGTCCTACAGGAGTAAGACTGACAAAGACATTAGAGTCCTACAGGAGTCACGAGGGAGGCAAAGAGGAGGCAAATCCTACTTTGATTGAGCTAAGTATCGTTGGTGTTTTTAATTTTTAATTTTGTTGTTTAGCCATGCTATAATCATGTGTATTTTCTCCATTCCTGTTCATGTGTCTTCTCGCAATTATCACTGGCCCCGTGTATCTCGTAATCGATATAACCGGCCTGCTCTCGTCTATCCCACGTGCTCCACTGAGATCCAACATCTAGTTTCAGGTGGCCTGTGGAACTGCCAGTCAGCTGTTCCTAAGGCTGACTTCATCTCTGGCTACACCTCCCTGCAGTCTCTGGATTTCCTTGCTCTCACTGAGACCTGGATTACTCCATCCAACACATCCACCCCAGCAGCTCTCTCCACTGCATATTCCTTCTCCCATACACCCAGACCCACTGGCAGAGGAGGTGGCACTGGTCTCCTGCTCTCTCCCAAATGGAGCTTTTCCCTCTTCAAGCTACCTAACTTTACTCCTTCCACCTTTGAGTTCCATGCCGTCACAGTAACCCATCCTATACAGTTAACCATTGTTGTTCTCTACCGTCCACCAGGCGCCTTGGGGGACTTCTTGGAGGAATTAGATCATCTCCTCTCACACATCCCTGAAACTGGCCCTCCCGCTGTACTTCTCGGAGACTTCAACCTCCAGATGGGGAAGATAGACGAACTAACATCTCTGTTAACCGCCTTTGCTTTCTCACTCTCTCCGTCCCCACCGACTCATAAAGCTGGCAATGTCCTTGATCTCATATTCTCAAGGAACTGCGCTACTTCTAACCTCTCTGTAAACCCGCTCCACACATCCGATCACTTCTTCATTTCATTCTCTCTATCCCTTTCCAAACATAACAAACTAATCTCTTCCCATCCTACACTTGTCCGCCGTAACCTTCGCTCCCTCTCTCCCTCTACCTTTGCCTCGTCGGTGCTCTCAGCCCTCCCTTCCTCTGATTCGTTCCAACTACTGCCTCCAAACTCTGCTGCAGAAACTCTCCTCTCTACTCTCTCATCCACTCTGGACTCGCTCTGTCCTCTGACATCTCGGCAGGCTCGTCAGTCCCCTCCGGCTCCCTGGCTAAATGATGCACTGCGTGCTAATAGAACCGTCCTTAGGGCAGCAGAGCGGAAATGGTGGAAATCCAAACACCGTGACGACCTCCTAACCTATCAAGCTCTCCTCTCCTCTTTCTCTGCTTCGATCTCTCAGGCAAAAAGCACTTTCTTTCAAGATAAGATCCAATCTTCCTATTCCAATCCTAAAAAACTATTTTCCATCTTCTCCACCCTCTTGGACCCTCCAAAAGCTCCTCCCCCCTCCTCACTTCTGTCAAGCGACTTTGTTACCCACTTTGAAAAAAAGGTTAATGATATTCGCTCTTCTTTTTCTGACTCACCTTTACTCACCGCTGGGTCATCAGACCCTCCTTCCACCAACACACTTACCTCCTTTTCCCCTCTCTCTCCAAGTGAGGTTCTTACCCTCATTACCTCTGCCCGCCCTACCACCTGTCCTCTGGACCCTATCCCTTCAAACCTCCTTCAGACTATCGCTCCTGATATTCTACCGTTTCTCACCCATTTCATCAACACTTCTCTAACTTCTGGTCACTTTCCAAACAGTCTCAAGGAGGCAAGAGTAAACCCTCTCCTAAAGAAACCCACTCTCAACCCGTCTGATGTTATAAACTACAGGCCTGTCTCTCTCCTCCCGTTCCTGTCTAAATCACTTGAACGCGCTGTCTTTAAACAACTCTCCTGTTATCTCAATCAGAACAACCTTCTGGATCCGCACCAGTCTGGTTTCAAGGCAGGTCACTCCACAGAAACTGCTCTCATTGCTGTCACGGAGGAACTGCACACTGCCAAAACTGCATCCCTCTCCTCTGTCATCATCCTGTTGGACCTGTCTGCTGCATTCGACACGGTGAATCATCAGATCCTCCTTCGCACTCTCCAAAAACTTGGAGTTTCAGGCTCTGCACTTTCCCTCCTCACCTCATACCTGAAAGACCGCACCTACAGGGTGACTTGGAGAGGGTCTGAGTCCGACCCTTGTCAATTAACTACGGGGGTCCCTCAGGGCTCTGTTCTTGGTCCCCTCCTCTTCTCCTTGTACACAAACTCGCTCGGATCAGTCATTAGCCCGCATGGTTTTTCTTACCACTGCTACGCTGACGACACCCAATTAATTCTGTCCTTTCCCCGCTCAGAGACCCAGGTCGTCGCACGCATCTCTGCTTGTCTAGCTGACATCTCTCAGTGGATGTCTGCTCACCACCTCAAGCTCAACCTTGACAAGACTGAGCTGCTCTTCCTCCCGGGAAAAGATTGTCCAACTCTTGACCTGACAATCAACATCGGCACCTCAGTTGTTTCCCCGACTCAGACTGCAAGGAATCTGGGTGTGACCCTAGATAACAACCTGTCCTTCACTGCAAACATCGCTGCTACAACCCGCTGCTGCAGATACACGCTTTACAACATCAGGAAGATACGTCCCCAGCTGACTCAGAAAGCGACTCAGGTTCTGGTCCAGGCTCTCGTCATCTCACGCCTAGACTACTGCAACTCCCTCCTGGCTGGTCTACCTGCATGTACCATCCGACCTCTGCAGCTCATCCAGAATGCAGCGGCTCGTCTGGTTTTCAACCTTCCTAAATTCTCCCACACCACTTCGCTCCTCCGCTCCCTTCACTGGCTTCCGGTAACTGCTAGAATCCACTTCAAGACACTGGTACTTGCTTACCGTGCTGCGAATGGATCTGGCCCTTCCTACATCCAGGACATGGTTAAACCGTACACCCCAGCGCGTGCACTACGCTCTGCATCAGCCAAACGACTCGTTGCGCCCTCGCTGCGAGGGGGACCCAAGTTCCCATCGGCGAAAACACGTGGGTTTGCTGTCCTGGCTCCAAGATGGTGGAATGAGCTCCCCATTGACATCAGGACGGCAGATAGCTTGCACATCTTCCGGCGCAAACTGAAAACTCATCTCTTTCGACTCCACTTCGAGCGTTAGAACGATTAACGAAGCACTTTTATACTAATAAAGGACTGGCTTATCTAAAGCCAGTTGAGTAGCACTTGAAATGTTTGGCTCTATGAAACTTGATATACTTATATGATTCTGTTTTCTTCAAGGTTGTGTCTTCCTGGTCGAATGTACTTATTGTAAGTCGCTTTGGACAAAAGCGTCAGCTAAATGCAATGTAATGTAATGTAATGTAATGTTTTTGAAACAGCAGATTTGATGATAAAATATGATGATTGAAACCAGAGTGGCATAATCTTAGTGAATACCAGCCTTATGGATATGATGGCTTTTATACTATCAATGGTGAATGACATATCGTAGCTATAGCAGCATGACTCAGTATGGGAACCTGTGCCATTGTTAGCAGATTGAAATACACAATTGCTTTGTTGAACAGGTCCGACAATATTGATGCTCATACTATAAAGGGCGTGTAGTTATTGGATTTTCAATGGAGTCCACTAAAGCAAACACATTTAAACCAGGTTCAAATACAAAGGCTATTATTGATTAGCCCTCCCATCTAACCACTGCATAATCTGCAGCGGAAATGGACAGCTCTACGATGCTTTCAAGATAATACATCCATCTCTCTCACTTTCTTTCTCTCAGACAAAAAAAGCTTAAGAGTGAATGTATTTTTGCCTTTGTTACAAAAGCAAGTATAAAGCACAACTTAATACTATGTTATGATGAAATATTGGAAAGTATAAAATGCATAAATGCTTTTTACTTACATATTTATGAGATACTCATTCACATCCTATCATTTCAAGCAAAAACGTGTCACTATCTTTCTATCTTATCTCAAGCATTTGAAAACCAGACATTGATGTTGCCTTGCAGAAAACATCCACAGTCTGTGTCTAAAAATAGGCATGCCAATGTTTCAACTCATACACATTCACAACACCCTCCAGAGACGTCTGTCGACTCGCCAGTCTCACAGAGCCGCCTCCACAGTCTTTATTATTCACTATTTTTTGCTAGCCCAATCGCTTTTGCTCTAATGAAAAACGCTTTGAAGTGTTATTTGAGTCATACTATGAAGTGTTGGTTTGGGGGAATAATACCAGTGATCTTATTCAAATAGCTATTTTACATCCTGCTCATATGAATCATCAGTAGATTCTTTGACTGTGTATGACAAAAACAGACAATTGAAATAAGGCATCAATTCTATGCAAACCACACACTGGGTTTCATCTCTCCTTGGTAACATCTCTCTCTGCAGTCTGCCTGGTTGAATACTGGGACTGTAAAGATGAAACACAGACACAGCTTTGGGCATGTATGTATAGTCACACACACAAAACAACCACAAACAAGCTCTCCTGTTTGATCTTTATCAGGAAAGCGAAGCAGACCATGCCAGCTGCCTCGTTGGGTGTTCAGATCGAAAGCTTTGAATAATTGTTGTGAACCTGTGAGCCACAATAACCCCTGAAAGACTGCAGCACCGTTTCATCCAACAAAAAGCTTCTAATGTTGGCTTTCATTCAACCCGCTTGTTCCAGCCCACAGTTGCCAGACTCACAGAAATGAGTTGCTTGTAGCTAATATTTTATCTGGATTGCCAAACGTTTGCTGCCAAATATGATTCTTACAGGACCTCTGAATGTCTGACAAAAACTGAAAATTATGTTTTACTTTGACCCTTGTTTCAGGGTGATTAACGCAGGTAAGAGTGCACTGAATGAGGACCAGGCCTGCTGCGAGCTGGTCATAGCGAGAAGGAGGCCGATGAGCTACTGCCCCCCGTCCACGCCCAGCAAGACCCCCACAGCCAAGAGACGCAACTCCCTGCCCAACGGAGAGGGCTTGGGGCTCCGCTTGGACCACAGCAAGCTAGGAGAGGTAAGAACTAGAGCTGTCAACGTTTGTCAACTCCTTTAGTTACATAGTGACATCACTACATAACACTTGCGCTTCTTTTACATTGTACGTGATAGGCTAAGGGGTGGGACATTTCTAAGCAGATGAACAATCACAACAGAGCCGGCCAGCTAACCTAAACCTCAAGCACTTTCTGAACATTGAAGCAAAAGCTTAGACACATAAATTACAAATATGAACCGGAAATCGATCTTGTTTTGATTTTTTTTAAAAACGTTTAGTCACTTATTTTTCTAAGGAGGTCAACTTTGACCAAGCTGTGTTTCCCATATACTCCCAGCTTTTCTTTGGAACATCGTAAATCGTGCTAAGGTCAGCCAGGCTGTTTGAGTCAACACCGTGGGAGAAATGTCGCTCTTGTTCTGGTCCCGCCTGAATTATACTGATTTTCCACTGAAAACACTATTCCGACTTTTAGTAACAGTTATTTTTTCCAATTATAGACATTTAGGTCATCTCTTGGTTTGCTTTGTGACTGTATGCTGTTGCCATTTGCAGGACAGTGAAGGCCTGGTGTTCCACTACTGGGCGTTGTTCGATGGTCACGCGGGCTGGGGGGCAGCGGTGGTCGCCTCCCGCCTGATGCAGCACCACATCGCTTGCCAGCTCCAGGCCGTCATCGAGATCCTTCGCAACCTCTCTTCCCTGCCCCCAACTGTCCTCGGTGAGGAGCCCGACACCAACCCCTACCTCCAGGGAAACCCCCCAGGCCCTCACCGGTCCCTGACTCGGGCCGCTTCACTGCGCGGGGCCTCAGGTGCTCCCGATTCCCCCTGCAACACCCCTCCTCCACCACGCTTCTACACAGAGAAGAAGATCCAGCATGAGAGCCTGGTGATAGGAGCCATAGAGAACGCCTTCAAAGAGATGGTGAGAGGAAGGAGCAGGAGTTTCATCCTGAGCGGTTCACTCTGTCATGCATCTTTACGTAACATTTTAGGACTTTTGTCATCGAAATTTCAAGAAATGCACGGTTAGAATGCAGATTTTCTTCTGTCAGGGATCAGTTGCCTCACTTCTCAGATACTTGTCAAATCACATTTGGGGCTGGATAATATGAAGACAATCTTTTTGAGGATTTAGTTATGTGATTTATTAAAGAGGCAAGTTTTAGGGTGAAGGAAGAACATGTGGTTAGGTTAGGTTTAAGCAAGTATTATAAGCAGGGGTGTACTTTTTTGCCCTGGTTCTCAAAGGAGCACCTGGAGATGTTGCTTGGTGCGCATCCTTAAAATGAAATGAACCGGACCTTTTGAGGGGGGGGAGGTGCGCTAGTGAGCACGCAGCAGGGTTACTGTGCGGAGCGCATAAAGCAGACCCTTCACGCGATAGCGAGGGGTAGAGCGAGGGATTGCAGATGCCGTCGTGCTCGTGGACGGATTAAATTAATTAAACCTAAATAGCTCGCGAATTATACTTTGGCGGCCGTTAATATACCTGGGCGGCCCGCCCAAGTAAAGTCTATGTGTGGGAAACCCTACTATTTTACCAGTTCTTATGCAACTCGCAAATATCTCTCTCTCTCTTCTCTCTTTTCTCTCTCTCTCTTCTCTCTCTCTTCTCTCTCTCTCTCCCTCTCCCTCTCTCTTCTCTCACTCTCTCAATGTTGGTGCGCAAATGCGCCTTTTTTCAATTGATCTGGTGCTCTTTTTTGGCGGGGGGTGCGCATGCGCACCTGCGCACCAGTTATGTGCAGCCCTGATTATAAGGATCATGGACAGTTAACTGATGAATTAAATGAGCAGAAATGTGTTTCTCTGTAACTCAAGGTAAATTGATAGTTGATTGAGTATGGTGATATCTACTTAAGATGCCCTTTGTGTTTTTTGGTGGTTAGCTGGATAAATGTACTTGTCAAGAGACATCTCGTCATACTGTGTCAACCAGCATTAATTTCAATAGAGATCAAGATATCGTCAAGTGTGGCCTCTGTATTTACAATCTATCTGGAAATCTAGCCTCAGAGAGCTGGCTTATGAAATGATGGCTCCCGGCTACTCGCCTCTCAACCACACACACACATTAGAATCTCTGATGCTCACATCCAAAGGCAGCATCTAAATAAATCTCTCTTAAGTTATTTGCTTTTTAAATTTAACACATTTAGCTGAAATGTTTTATTACTGGAGAAACAGCCACATGCCATTTTTCAATTACGAAATATATCCAAAACATTTATATTCATTCGGGTATCAGCAGTGCATAAGGGAACATATTTTTATACTGGCCAGTTTTTCCTAGTTTCTTCCTTCACGGTTTCATTCAAATTGCTTTGTTATGAGATATACTGCAGTATTACCACTAGATGGCAATGGCAAACAGCCCACAATGTCCAAGCTGGATCCTGCAGTACTCAGATTCCTCTCAGAACAACCACGCCACCCTTTATCTGAGGGGGAAAATAAGCTCTCTAACAATTGATTGGACATTTTCTGCAGGAGATTATAACTACAACAGTAAAAGCTGTGGTTGGAACCCCAAATAATTCATTTGATTATATCCCAGTTAGATAATAAAAGCTGAATTTAAGGTAAGAATTACGTAATAATAATGAAATGGGACGGGGAGAAAGCTCTTGTGCATGTTTTGTCAGTACAAAGCCTGACATCCTTAGGCAATAAACAAAGCCTTTCACATATCGCTGTATACATTATTCATTATTCACACGGTCACAGGGGTTCAGTTTAAACGATCAATAGTCTGCAACAATGCCTCCACATCTTTGTTTCCAAATAGTTGATCAGATTTTCTCAGTCTGGCTCACTTTCCGTGTCTAAATAATTATCTCCATCGATCTCTTTTGGCCTATAGTCAAATGTATGAATGTGAACGAATGGAGAGCACACGTACAGCTTCCCTTTGCCTGTATGGTATTTTTTCCCCTATTATCTTAAGTGTTGCTTCATTAAAGATGGATCACTGTCGCTCCGTTTCACAGGATGCCCAGATTGAGCGCGAGAAGCAGGTGTTCCACATCACCGGAGGCTGCACGGCTCTCACTGTGGTTTACCTGCTGGGAAAACTATACGTTGGGAATGCAGGTGACAGCAGGTGTGTATGCTGATCTTCTGACCACACTGAGTCTGTATAGCTGGCGCAGTACAACCCAGGGACCCATGGCCGTATGATGTCAGTATATCGTGACTCCATCCACTGTCCTGTCCAACCTCAGCAGGAGATTGGCTGACACAGGAGGGCCGTCAGCAGCCTTCCATGCTATAAAATCTGCTCCATCTGCCCTCCAAGGATAACATTGTTTAATAACACACCCCATTGGTATTAACTTTAGTTTGATAAAACAAACTCAGACACATTAATTTTTAACGTGAAACTGCATTATTAAGTCAGTATGTATTCAGTGATGACGTTTTTTGGAGGGCATCCCGAAGATAGCCACTTGTTAGAAACTGCAATTTCTTAGGACACGTAGAGGTTTCTGACATTCACAAGTAATAATAATAATACATTACATTTATAAAGCGCTTTTCCTAAAGTAGAGTATTTACTGATGTATTTTATGTGGTAGAACAAAACGTGAAGATATTGTTAGTTTTTGTTAAACACAGACCTTGTTTCGGGCCACTAACCAAAACATGTTCAAAATAAATCGCTGACTTCAAGACGAGGGAACCAGAAGTGCTAATGCTAATTAACAGGTTTTAGGTCTCATTCGTGCACCACTATTTGGCTGCAAGTTAAAAAACATTAAATATGACAAAGTATTCTGTTATTTTCTTGATGGAGAGCCCCTGGCTGAAGATTATAATGATTGTATGTTAAATTAAATCTCCTGCATCTACATTACTTCTCCAACCTTTTGTGTGTCTGCAGGGCGATCATTATCAGGAGCAATGAGATCATCCCCATGTCCACAGAGTTCACACCAGAGTCAGAACGACAGCGACTCCAGTTCCTGGTAAAAAAAACACTCATTTGCATTTGATTTTAAAATAGAATACAAAGACTCCTGTCAGAAGACCGTTTTATAGTCAGTGGCAATAAGCAGGGGCACTAATGTCTCCTTTTGATTTCATGAATTAATCTGAAATACATTATTAGGACAAATTCAGTGGAGCCTGGCTAATACATCAGCCTGGTTGAAACTATCACCGACCTATCAGCATGCAGGTCTGCAAGAAACTGCAGCACAGAAATGCCAGAGGGAATCATGGGTAATTTACAAACCATGTCTCCTTTAGATTGTTTGGCCACCATCCCAAGCAATTACAACTCTCCTGCTCAGTTTAACTCATTAAAAAACAAGTTAAGGAACAATTCTAGGTTATATAAGTCCTCTATTATCAGCCCAATCTAATGTCAGTCACCACAGCCTCGGCTTACATGTTTTCAGCCAAAGTCAGGTTTGAGAGGGAAGTGGTAGGTATAATGGGAAGTGACTCTCATTAGATCACTCATGAAGCTGCTTTAAAGACCCTTACTGTGTCCTCCAGGGCTTCATGCAGCCTCACCTGTTAGGAAACGAGTTCACACACCTGGAATTCCCCCGGAGAGTCCAGAGGAAGGAGGTGGGCAAGAGGATGCTCTACAGAGACTTCACCATGAACGGATGGTGAGTCTTACTCCACATTTTCATATTACCACTTCTTTAATTAAGCAGACAGATGGCAGACACCAGCATTAAATATGTGTGTAAATGACCTGTGTGTCACGCCTGTCAAATTATAGTGTAGAAGGAAAACTGCTAATGTTATGGGATGGAAAAATTCTCTCTCCACCCTCATTAAATGACATGCTAAAAACATGTGGCATTAAAAAATAAAAAAGGTTTATAATATTAAAAAAGGGGTATTCCATCATATTTCCATATCAACATCATTTTAATTATGAAGGATTGTCACACTCACCCTGTGCAAACTGTTTGCACCATCCATCCATCCATCCATCCATCCATCTTCTCCCGCTTATCCGTGGTCGGGTCGCGGGGGTAGCAGTTCCAGCAGAGAGCCCCAAACTTCCTTTCCCTGGCGACATCAACCAGCTCTGACTGGGGGATCCCAAGGCGCTCCCAGGCCAGCGAAGAGATATAATCCCTCCACCTGGTCCTAGGTCTACCCCTTGGTTTCTTCCCAGCTGGACGTGCCTGGAACACCTCCATAGTGAGGCGCCCAGGTGGCATCCTAACTAGGTGCCCGAACCACCTCAACTGGCTCCTTTCGACGCGAAGGAGGAGCGGTTCAACTCCGAGTCCCTCCCGGATGACCGAACTTCTCACCTTATCCCTAAGGGAGACACCAGCCACCCTGCGGAGAAAACCCATCTCGGCCGCTTGTATCCGACTGTTTGCACCATAATGTCTAATATGTCTTGAGATGTGGGCATTCACCAGAGGGAAGGTCTAACAACAAGGGATAATATCAAGTTGCTCTACGGGAAGTGTGTGTTTGTTGAAGCTTGTCCCAAACCACAGACTTAACGCAAGGATAACTAACTAGGGCTACAAGATTTTGAAGAAAAAAAATCGAATTGCGATTATATTAATGATATTGCAACTGCGATACCATGTGTGATATTGGAGGGAATGCAACATTATCGTTGAAAATGATTGTGAACTAAGGATTTGAACCAAACAAGGACTATGTAATTCACACTATAATACCGTTAGGACAAAACTCCTCTACGGCACTTCACAATACTTCATTCAATATTTTGTACCAAATATAACACACTGCGAATTGGATATTGCACTCGTCCATATTGCAATTTGAATCAAATTGTTATAAAATAGGCAGCCCTATAACTTAGTCATTTAGATGTTTTGTTTGTATCAACTACTTTAAAGAAGGTCCTACAATTGTACGAGTGGCAAAGCAATCGGTGACAAAAAACTCAGTCTTTGTCTGATCTTCCCAAAGCCCAAAATGAAAAATGGGATCGGAAAGAGCCCTCTCGATCAAAACAATCTGAAAAAGATTTTGTGAGTTGATGGTGATGAAGTATATAAGATGTAAATATATAAAATAAATAAATAATGTGTGTGTGTGTGTGTGTGTGTGTGTGTGTGTGTGTGTGTGTGTGTGTGTGTGTGTGTGTGGTGTGTGTGTGTGTGTGTGGTGTGTGTGTGTGTGTGTGTGTGTGTGTGTGTGTGTGTGTGTGGTGTGTGTGTGTGGTGTGTGTGTGTGTGTGTGTGTGTGTGTGTGTGTGTGTGTGTGTGTGTGTGTGTGTGTGTGTGTGTGTGTGGTGTGTGTGTGTGTGTGTGTGTGTGTGTGTGTGTGTGTGTGTGTGTGTGTGTGTGTGTGTGTGTGTGTGTGTGTGTGTGTGTGTGTGTGTGTGTGTGTGTGTGTGTGTGTGTGTGTGTGTGTGTGTGTGTGTGTGTGTGTGTGTGTGTGTGTGTGTGTGTGTGTGTGTGTGTGTGTGTGTGTGTGTGTGTGTGTGTGTGTGTGTTCTGTGGGCAGCGTGGCACCCTGCTGTGTGGCTGAGGCTTCAGTGGAAGCCAGTAATGATGTGCTGCTCTCACTCACTGGGCCACGTACAGCACTGTGTGTATCCTGATGTATATTTCACTGTAAGAACACACTCAGGAGCACAGTGTGCAGCCAGAGTGTGCCGACCAATGCTGTGTTTTCTTTCCCACATCTCAGAAGGTCTGGGTATACCTTGATCTTTTTCAATTTGTCTGGGTCTCAAATTAAGGCAGCTGAAGAATCAATTTGAGAACGCCAAATGAAAAGACTCTGCTATGGCTGCTGTTCTTTGTTTACAGTACAAGCTTCTTCTAATGTGCCTCAAAGCTTCAAGGCAGTATTCAGAAGGAGCTCAGTGCCAATGATGTTTAGAGCCAAACTAAAATTCAAAAGACTCTGGTGTCCAACAAACAGTAAAGCACAAAGATGTTTAGATAAGGTTTCCCGTTGATCCTTAAACATTCTCATAAGGTTGAATTTAATTCATTAATCTAAAAAAAAAAAACTTCAAGCTTTTAAAACATTCTAAATTATACTTATGCAAATAATTAATAGTTAAAAATGCAGATCTTTTTGTTTTTACTCTTAATGTAATTTGTGCTGAGCATCCCTTAAATGCATTGTTTATCCAATACTTAAATATGTATTTATTGTTCTGTCATAGAAGGGTCAAGAAACCAGAAATCAATCCCCTTGCTAGAATCTGACATTTGTTGCCCTTAAAATGTGCTTTTTGGTGGATGCTTATTGAAAAGTTAGTCTTAAATCCTCCCATTTAAGGAGCCGAGACCAGGGAATAATCGGGGAGCTGCATAAATCTAATCTAATCTAATTTTTTTGAGGAAGACAAGTGATGCGCACTAACAGATGGTCAGACGTGAAGCCGTTTGAAGTTTCCGATGTTCTCCACTGACTGACGCTAAATCTAAAGCATCCTGTTTAATACATCATCACCTATGAAGATGTATTAAATATGTTATTTTTGGTGTTGTTTGCTTGTTTGTTTGCTAAGATCCCCTCCCCCTCACTTTCTCTTGCTGAATGTTTAGCAGCGAAAACACTTATTGTTATCGCCCTCTGGAGAGGCAGCAATGAGACTGAATCAAAGGCTAGCAGAAGGAGGGCAGATGTTTCCGGCCTACAGTGTGTTTACTAACAGGGGCTGAGCGAGAGCAAGCACAAATGGTGGGAAAAAAGGAAATTAATGTTTGTTTCGTGCTAAACGGAACATGAAACCTTAAAAATGTTAAAAAGGTTTAGAGCATTAAAGGGGTATTCCACCATATTTTCACATCTAGGTCCTTTAAATTATCTTAGCTGCACTCAACCTGTGCAAACTGTTTAATCAGTCGGATATGAATGTAACAAATAGGAAAAAACATAGTGATGTCGTCATGGTTCTCAGTTTGATTTGGAGAAAACCAAAGTCTTAAAGATTTCTTAAAATGTGAGCATTGAAAGGGTGCCCATTTTGCTTTTTCTGGTCAGCAAAAGTCTAAAATCCCAAAGTTACCTCTAGAGGGAATTTTTCGATCTTTGGGAGCTTGTCAAATTTGAACATAATTTAAAAAATATTTGAATCAATCTTTAATTAAATTAGCGCCAATCTTGTACTGACAGCAAGACAAAGAACATAATGTGATATAATTGTCTTTTCTCAAACACAGGGCATACAAGACCATAGAGGAGGAAGATCTCAAGTTCCCACTGATTTATGGGGAAGGGAAAAAGGTAAGAGTCTGTCCGTCTACAAGTTCTGTACATCTGCTCTCCAATTTTAGAACTGCAGAAATGAAATCACATGCTCCAACATTGTTAATTACACACACACACACACACACACACACACACACACACACACACACACACACACACACACACACACACACACACACACACACACACACACACACACAATGCCTGCCAGCCTCCCAGAGAGTGGTTGAACACTCGGTCTCTGATGTGCGAGTACCACACTGAGTCTGTGTCAACGTGCACTCTCACAAAAAGAGAGAGGAGACAGTCCATCTGTTCCACTCCAGTTGCTACATCTCACACACAGACACACAGACATTCGTATGGACACACACCACTGGGGAGACGACAGTCAGTTAATCCCCACTGGGATGAGATAAGAAGAAGACGAAAAAGAGAACACTACGAAACGCGCATTTTTTGTAGTTTGTATCATATTTTTGATCAATTTCGTTTCATCAAAGAGACGTAGCATGTGTGTTCATCAGAAAGGCAAACGGCATCCAACAACCTCACAGCGCCATGTTTTCTGAAGGAAAGCTGATGAATTTAAAGAACGGACTTAACAAGTTTAAACAGCGAACTAAAAGATTGGAAGACTGGGAAATAAATGTGGTAATTAACAAAGAATAGTCAAATGTCTTTGAGTTTCAGTTACACCACCATTTATGGAGCAGTTTTTCTGATTCTGATTGCAACATGCGCTCCTGTGAGCAATCCCCAGCTCCTTCACCAACATATGGTGAATATTCTGACTGGGAGCAAACAGAGTAACACTGCCATGCTGTCACTGTCACTCAATATGGGAACATCCATATGTTCATTAATGACTCCCTGACAACCGCATTCTGACAGGATGAAAAGCAGAAACGTTTATTAGAAACCTGAAGTTAACCACTTTATGTCTTACAGGCTCGAGTGCTGGCTACCATCGGTGTGACCCGCGGGCTCGGGGACCATGACCTCAAGGTTCATGACTCCAACATCTACATCAAACCCTTCCTGTCCTGTTGTCCTGAGGTAAGAGACGCCAGTCAAAAGTGCTCTGAGAATGTCACTTTACGTCCAGTTAGATTCTAGTGTGGTCCTTATTTTTCACTACCAACAACAACAACAACACATGGACTGTAGCTACAGGACCAGTTTGTTTACTTATTCCCTATAGCAGCCTGCCAGCTGTCAATAGCCGGGTCATTCCAGAATTGGAGGACATTTCATGTCCCCCATATAAAAAAATCTAATAATCCATGCCCAAAAAGCTAAAACATGCACTTGTTGTGTTAAACATACTTGTATTGAGACAAAATGTATATAAAGTTGTAGAAAAAGTGGTTTCAAAATATTATTTAAATGATCAAATAGCTCTCGAACATCCCCTAAAATGGCATTTTTTTCTTGTCCCCGCTTCTTGGTGACTAACTTGCATGTCAAATATAACATTTAAAATAGGCATTTTATTTACTTTTTTTGGTATTATTCTATTGATATATGTCTCTTGTAATGGTAAAATCAATTTGTTAAATCATAAACATATTTTAGATAACAGTAATTTTGCACAGAAGGTGTGTCCCTCAACATGCGTTCAACCCTGTTACCCAAACCTTTTTAGATTGGCACAGGAAGTGAACAAACTGTAAATCAGATGACACAGTGGAAGTGACATCAGCAAGCCATGTGCTAGTCCCAAAACTAAGTCCTCTCTTTTATTTTTACAATATTTTCAGTCTTAAAAGAGTGTGGCACTCTGACCCACTCAACCCTGTTACTGATATTATCAGAATAAAGCATATTAATTTCAAAGTTATCTTTCTTGCATTAGATATCCAAGTTTGTCCTTGCCTTGAAAGTAGCATTACATGCTACATCTAGCAATAATTCCTGAGGTTAAAGCTCAAATTAGCATTGATTTTCAACCCTGTTACTTTCAACCCTGTTACTATAATTAGAGTAACAGGGGTAATTCTTCATTGGAAAATATTAATTTGATGCCTAGCTGGGCAAATCACTGTTTTTGATGGTTTATTATCTGTTTTTCCTAAATACATTATAAAAATTATAAAATAAAAGGTTCATTTTTCAAAAATGTTAGTGTCTAAATTGTCCTCCAATTCTGGAATGACCCAGCCGCTTTCACACCAAGTACTTTGCCGTACTTAGTGCCCCGGCACTTAGTACCAATCGCGTTCACACCGAAGTACTTTTCCCTGAGGGAAGATTATGCAAATGAGCCGCTGACGTCACTTCATCTTCTTCTGCTTTGGGTTTACTGGCAGGCCGCAAACAACTTCACGGCGTTTACTGCCACCCGAAGTCCCCGGAGTTGGGGACTGGCTTCTACTGAAGCCTTCCGAGTAAATCGCCAGAACGCCGACACCTTCTCATCACTCCACCGCTCCCATGTTTTTTTTTGTGTTGCCATAAGTTATTCTCTCTCCGTTGGTGCGCGGGGCTAATGCTAATAATGCTAATGCCAGCAAATACAATGGCGGCTTTAAAAAAAAAATCTGAGTTTTACGGGGCGTGGTTTGCAATTCGCACAGCCAATAGAAATTGGTACTCTTTTGGTACTTTTTTGGTACCACCTCTCAGCAGGCACTAAAAATGGGGGTAAAAGTTCCCAGCACTAAGTACTCTTTTTGGTGTGAACGCGACATAAGGGGTACTAACGGAACTTAACGGAACTTAACGGAACTTAACGGAACTTAACGGAACTTAACGGAACTTAACGGGAAAAGTACGGGGAAAAGTACGGGGAAAAGTACTCCGGTGTGAACGCGTCTAATCACACACCTTCTGTACACACCTCTGCAGCCAGCTGTCATGAAGGATTAACTAATTCGGGGAATAGTATTTCCTTTACTATTCACAAAACTTTTCTAACTCATTTCACTCAGACTGTGGTTGTTTCCTGTAGCGGGTATACTGTTACAGTGTTACAGTCTTAATCATCCAACTTCTGAACGCCTCTAATTAGTTGTAAATGTTTCTCTTACCTCCACTCACCCTGCCAGCCCCTTCCTGACCTTGTTTTGTCTAATTTATGGCCTAAATTAAAGACTAAGTCGGTCCCATGACCCACACTGCGTCTGATATCTGCACCAAAAGGTCCTCTGCTGCAGCAGAACTTCAGCTCACCTGTCTGCCTGTCTGCCGCCGCTTTCAAAACTCTTTCATCTCCTAGTGTACTTGGTCTTATAGTGTTTTGCATTTCCCCTTCCAGAGCTCTACGCTTGATCTTTAATTCATTAAAAACCTGAGTTCATACCAGGTTCACTCAGAAGTCTGAACTCCCAGCACTATGTCTGTGTCTCTTTTATTCTCTCTTCCAAACACGACTCTCACCCCTCACCAGAGTCTCTTAAGAAACTTCTCCAGATGCTCTCAGATAATGAAGACTGCGTTGAATTTATTATGATAGGGAATATGGATCGGGCAGTATAGATTTCAGTATGGCTGAGAGACTTGAGCTACTTTAGCTGAGTGAGTCTCTCACTCACTCGCTACTTCAGTTTATGAGGGTTTTACCATAACTCAATGTTCTGTGTGCGTGCAGGTTAAGGTGTACGACCTGGCGCAGTGTGAACACGGGGCCGATGATGTTCTGGTGATGGCAACCGACGGCCTCTGGGACGTCCTCTCCAACCAGGAAGTAGCCGAATCCGTCACCACATTCCTCGCCAACTATGACCCCGATGACCTCCACAGGTCTCAGTTTGCCTTTTAATAAAAATCTTCTTATTTTTTTACCTCTCTTTCGTGACAGGCGTTGTTGATTTCATTATGTAAACCTTCATCAGTTGTCAACTATTTGCGTCGTGTTATATTTGCTAGTCTGTGTAACGTATAAATAATTGTTTAAATCACAATTCAGTGTTAGGGCCCTACCGTTTATGCTGTGGATTAGATCCTTTTGTTATTTTCTCTCCAGGTATACAATGGCAGCACAGGACCTGGTGATGCGAGCGCGGGGGGTGCTGAGGGACCGAGGCTGGAGGATCACCAACGAGCGCCTCGGCTCCGGAGACGACATTTCGGCCTTCATCATCCCGCTGATGTACGGCAACCATCAGCCCTGAGGAGCCTCGCCGAGGGGCTCTTAAAGCAACAGGGTGATTTTAACTGCCCTGTTGTTTCCTCAGTGCCGTTTGAACACTTATTTTATTCTTTGGAGGAAGGATATCCTAAAATCAGGATATTTATGTGTGTTGGTGTTTCATATCTCTGTAGAAGATCATTGGTCGGGCACACAACTTGGCTGCTCAGGTTCGCTCAAAAGTCTAAAATACAAGTGCATTTAGACACATTCTAATTGATTTGAGTTGACAAAAGTAATGCAGGAAACCTCGTGACTGACCTTCTGCAGAGATGTGAAAGCCAAGTTTGACACAAGTCATTTTAAGGTTAGTTTTGAAAATGTGACAGTTACTAAAAACCATGTCAGTTCATGAAATATCCATACATCAACTCTTAAGAAAATACTAACTTGCTGAGTGTAAGATGAGATCAGTGATACTGTACCGGTATCAGTGATCTCATCTAACTTGGCAAGAAAGCGAATAAGTTACTTTCCAGAATGTCAACCCATTCCATAACTCCGTAAACATTTTATACACTTTACACTAGGGATGGGCAATATGACCATTTATCACATTGCTTAGTAGAATACTCGATTCTGATAGGTCATTTCAGAGGTTCCACTTCACGTCGGCCTTCATGATCACCCGGTTGGGCATTTTTATTTTTTCATTAATTATCCCTTACATAAAGATGTCTCATGTATATATATTTGTATACCTCGTTTCAATAGGGTAGGCGTATCTTTTTTTTCTTTAATTCAATTTAGAACTTATTTTAATTGTTGACTTAATACTTTATTTGTCAGTATTTCATTGGCAAAGCAGTCTAAGAAAAACAGGCTTTATTATTTTGTCATTACGAAACATGCAATGTTGTGATATTTATATTATTATCGCAATTTGGCCATATCGCCCAGCCCTACTGTACACTGACACATTTGGAATTGATGGAAATCAAGGTTGTTTTGTGACATTGTTTTGTGTGAAAGTGACATTAGATAAGGACTTGTACATCAGTATGATTGCACTTTAGGCTGACCCACATCATTAACCAAGCAGCCGTGAAATATTCCCTGCAACAGGGAGGATTTAATTCATTCATAATTGATATCAAACACACAAGTTATCTTTTGCTTTGACATGTTGCATGTTTATAAAGCTTTAGATGCTTGATACAGATCCCATTAGTCTTCAGAGGGACATGGGGGGGGGGGGGGGTGACGCAAGATTGGATGTAGGGATTTACTGTGACAGTGCATGCAGTGACATATTATAGGCCTGGGAATATGAGCGACGGTGCAATGGTTTACACTGATGTTTGTTTTTATACCGACTGAATTTGTATTTCTGTTATGTTAGTGATAATGTTTTTGGTTTGTAAATGTGCAAAGACCATGCATATATTTAAAGGATGTTGTTTCTTTCAAGTTTTTGACGTCGGAGACATGTAGCATAAGAGCTTAGGGTATAAGTCAATGGGAAGGAAGGGAATTAAAGGAAACTAAAATGCAAATAGCCTCTTGTTGATTAGACTTGAGGAAAAAAAAAAGAGGACCATGAAGAGTTCAGCTGTCTGGAAACAGTGCCACGTCCTCAAAAACTGATGTGCATGTGTATGTTTTCCTTCCCTACATTATTATTCTGCGTTCATACGAGCTACACTCCTCTTCCAGCCTCTCTGGGTTGAGATGTAGTTTAGGAGAAGTAGTCTGGGGGAAGAAGAAACTTCAGAGGATCGATATAAAGTGGTCATCATTTCTGAAAAGTTTCATTCCAGTCTGGGAACAATCGACTGCATAATATTAAAACAAACCGCATGTTTTTAAGTCCTTGACAGACAAAATCATGAATTTTATGATTTATTTCCCCTCAATAGAGGATATTTAGAGTTTTGGAGTAGCACTGGTTTACTTTAGTCTTGACAGTAAAGTGAGAATATGTCTTTTTTTCATAAAACGGGGCATACGAGCGATTGACTGAATCCAAAAAAGTTAATTTGGAAGTTGAAAGAATGAGGAATTTAATATTTGGGATATTGGGCCCTATTTAAACAATCGAAAGCACAAGTGCATTTAGAGCGTGTCAAACTCGTTGTGCCCGTTAAACAGCGCATAATCTCAGTGCAAAGTATGAAGCAAGGAGCTAATTGGGTGTTTTAGTTTCTTATTCAATCAAAAAGGTGTGTTTTGGCCTAAACATGAATAAGACCAATCTCCTATGCCCTTTAAATAGAGGTGAATATTGTGCCATTAACCTAAGACCAACTTGATGTTCGTGCCATCGCTTCAAAATGGCAATGCGTCTGACTGCACCTTAGGTGGCCATTGGCAAACAGATGGGCACAAGTACATTTGCAACTTCGATAATTGGCCCTGTGCGTGAAAAGACAACTGGGTTGTACTCACAGTAGCACTTAGCTATATGCTAATTTGCTGTAAGATAGGGCCCTTACACTTCCTTGTTTTTTCCAAGAATGTAAAATGAAATTCTACTTCACATGATATGTGCCAATGTGTAGCATGGGCTTCTTATCATCTTAGCTTGGACTTTTTTAGTTGATAGTTATCGACATTCCTCTAAGCAGCTGTCATTTGTATTTGCTTTTTAAGTGATATGGAGCATTTTTCCTCCTGTACATTCCATGAAAGAAATATTTTATTTTAAAAAAGCTGTTCGTAATACATCATGATTTTCTGTTGCATCTGTAATAACATGAAGCGATACATAGTTTAAAAGAAATCTTGACCTCTAATTTATTGAATGTGTTTCTTCTTACTTTCGTTAAATCTTTGATGCTGCCACCTTATTGTTTTAGCACGTGTCCCAGTTCAACAGATGCGGTTTCAAACAACCAGATTGAATGTTTTGAACTGAAAACATGTTACGATAATGTCTTAATGTGGCATCAAAATATGTGTTGAATGTTTATCCATATAGCGGTCATTAAGCCTTTTTCTCTTAGATGAATGTCAAATAATTTTATTTGTGTCATCCTGCTGTGCCACCCAACTGCTGCACATCAACTCAGGTTCAATTATCATGCGTAGTATAAGTGGAAAGGACGTACAGAGGGACATTCTAAAGATGGGGAGTCCACCAGGGCGTATTATTGGTGCCACTACATTTGTGAATCCATTGATGAGTTAGTCCTTATTACTTTGTTCAGCCCTATTGAAGGTTTCCTGCTTTGAAGTTGCTGTACCGTGTAAAATAGTCACTGCTGTTGTTTCTTTCTTCATTAGACTATAAAAAGATTTGTAAAAGGAAACTTTGCAGGGCTGGAAGGTTTAATCTGTAGCAAAGACGATGTTTGAAGGCCAGTAAGGGATCATTTTAAGTGAACGTTGTGCTACCCTCAACCTCGTTTGTGAATGTGAAATGTACATTTTGTAACAAAAAGATTACTTATGAAGTCAAAAAGAAATATTTTTAATGTTTCCTTTGGGCAAAAACAATGTTTACCTTCAATGTTTCTTTTCCAAATAAGAAATAAATGTTAAAGAAAAATGTATGAAGTGTAGTTTGTGTCGTTGATTCAAGTTTTTTTTTGTTTGCTGTCCAAATTAGTTTATTACATTACATTTAGCTGACGCTTTTATCCAAAGCGACTTACAATAAGTACATTCGACCGGGAAGACACAACCTTGAAGAAAACAGAATCATATAAGTACATCAGGTTTCATAGAGCCAAACATTTAAAGTGCTACTCAACTGGCTATAGATAAGCCAGTCCTTTATTAGTATATAAGTGCTTTGTTAATAATTCTATCGTTCGAGGTGGAGTTGAAAGAGATGAGTTTTCAGTCTGCGCCGGAAGGTGTGTAAGCTTTCTGCTGTCCTGATGTCAATTGAAGTCCTGAAGTTCAGAAGACCACATCAATCTGAAAGAGTGAGAAACAAAGATAAGTGCAGAAGAGCTAATCAATATTGTTGCCGTTTCTATTCAATGGGTTCTCATTGTGGAAAACAATAACAAATGGGGTCAATGGGCCTTCAAAAGACTGGGTAGACTTTGTGATTGACTGGCACATGGATTCATTAATGGAACTAGAGTGCTCACTGACAGAACATGGTCGATAATGCAGACTCTCTAAATGCACACAATAATATTGACGCAATCTTTAATGATGAGGTCAACCCGGATAAAGCCATTATCCCAAATGGATTTCCTGGATCGCATCTAAATTGATCCCGGAAGAAAAACAAAGAGAAACATGAATGTCTCCGTTGGGTTGCATGGTACTAGTAATAACTGGTACAATTCAAATGATTTATTTTATTTGCTATAACCTGTGATAAGTTCCTTCATCCAAAGCCATGTGCCTCTACAAATTAGTTAAGCTTATAAAAGTGACGGGACAATATTGATAATATATACAAAGTTAAAACCAAATTGCATAATTGGCAAAATATCTTTCTTTTATCTGTAAGTCTTCGAAATTGTTGGATAACTTGTGACTTTCAAATAGCATCATTTATTTTAGTAGGTGCAGCTTCCACTATGGCATGAAGTATGCATACTATTGTGACATACTACTTCATTCTAACATGGCCACTTGAACTCTGACCCTCTTGCTCATAAGTCTGCTGTGCAAAGGATGTTGGGTCAGGTCCTAACTTCCTGTACTCTTCCCTTTAACATATTTAAAACAGTCTAATCATTTTCATTCAGTGCTTGGATTCCATAAATTGTTATACTAGTGACTATTTTTTAAATGCCATTTTCTTAATGGCTTCCATTCTTGTAAAGCACTTTGAATTGCCTTATGTTGAAAGGTGTTATATAAATAAACTTGCCTTGGCGACCAAATCGAAAATAGAAGAGTTTAAAAGCATATTTTCTTGCACATTATTACTCGAGTTATATTTAATGTATTCTTATGCAACTGTGAAAAACGTAATTTCCCCAAGGGCTAATTAAGTAATCAGATTGATGACACATTCCAAAAGAAGACTGGATAGAAAAAAAAACTAATACCACTTCCTTTGACTTTTGGAAACACTGAATTGAGTTGAATATATTCTTCTTCTCTTTTTTTAAGTTGGACAAAAAGATCAAACCCACGTGATGCATACCATAAAAATCACTTTATTTGAACATTTTAACATGCATGTCAATACACACATATTTAAGCATAGCTTTCATTATCCAAGTTCACACGTTCTGTGGCACAGTTTCATATGAGACGTGATTATTAAGAAGGCATACAAGTCTCTCTTCAGTTTATTCTGTTTACAAAACACATTGGTCCAAGTGATTCGCGTTGATCGGTTCTCTGTCGTTAGTCACCAGCGCCAGCAAGGCAGTAGATTGCGCAGTCATCTCCACAAGGGGTAATATAACAACCCGACCAACAGCACAAACTACTACCTCAACCAGCGCATGGCCCCCGGTGCTCTCTGCCTCCTCTTTTGTCCTCTTCGCTCCACTTTCAGTCAGTGTCACTGTGCGTAAAAGCGCACGGGGGAAAAAATGGCGTGCGCGCAGAAACGTGGCCGCAATAAACCGAGACAAAAACCCCACCCAAGGAAAGACAAAAAACACCTTCTGTACCTTTCCCTCATTTCCTCCACCCGCTGCTCTCCTGAGATGACCTCCATGAAAATGACATATGGCGGGGCTCTCCGTGGATTTCCTGGGCGGCACATGCCACATGCACAGCTTAAAACACCACAAAAAGATTGTGACGTTATCAATGTTTAAATGTGGACATTAACATACGTCCGCATATTGTAACTGAGCCAAACAATGACTAAAATGCACGATCGGTAGGAAACAATCAGCATTGCAGACATTCATATATTATATTACACGTGCACCATAAACAAATCAGAATCAGAACGCAAACATGATTTGTATAGCATTGTCGGCAGAATTAAGACACGATATAAGAAGTAGATTACCAATAAGTCACTAATAAAACTGCATTCTGTATAAATATTACCGGGAATGTGTTAAATCGAGAAATTAAAAAAACCTCCACCTCGTCTCCAGCCCCTCGCCTTGCAGCTGAACTGCAGCAGACTGTTTTATAATCTATTGTTGTCTGTTTCCGTCTCTGCGTCCTTAGAGGGAAGTTGTCCCGGTGTCAAACCAGCTCGGTTCAAAAGACCAACAAATGTACGAATCCACATGGTAGAGAAACACGATTTTTTAAAAGTATTTTCTCCCCGTAAATGCCGCATGTCAGGTAGGTGTGGAAAATGAGTGGATTTGGCGGAGCAGCGTGGATAAAATTCGCGGGGAACGTCAGGATGCGTGTGGGCACGAGCGGAGCTCAGAGGAAACGAAGAGGTCTCACTCTGACGGATTTTTCAAACACCAGCAGACGGGAGAGACGGTCAAAGTGCACCATAGTCTGGTTGCATTCAAAACAGCAACTAGGTTTCTTGACAGGCAGGTTAAGGGAGTAAGTAATCAGGATACTGACTTTAACCCATATTCAAAACACTGACCAACACTCACCTTTTTAGATGTGCTTTCAATGTGTGGTTTATGCCGTGTCCTTGTGATAAATATGGTTTTATTGCTAGATTTTAATTAGACTACCCCTGCCCTGTAAAGCGTCTTTGAGTACCTGATAGAGCACTTGATAAATAAAATGTTTTATGATTATACAAAAAGGTGACTGTAATCTCTTACAGTTGCATACAAAAAAAATTGTAATCAGATTACTGGTACGTTTTTTAAAGGTCCGGATACAAACAAATTGGATAACAATGTTACAATACATTTTAAAGTAAAGGAACATATATTTGTTTTGGCCTGACATTCAGGTTTCTTATATAATACAGATAACATTATTTTTGTAATATGCTAGCCTACCTAGTTTAGGTTACTGATTAAATGTTTCAATGATTAGTAATTGTAACAGAATATATGTTTCTAAAGTAACCTCCAAACCCTGTCCAGTGGGAGCTTGTTATGAACTAGTGCCCTAACTCTTAAGACATTTTGCAGCATTAGGCACCATTTCCATTCCATATCATGACAACTCTCATTATTAAGCAGAAGATTCACACAAATGATGAAAAGGTAAGTTACATGTGTGGGACCCTACCTTCTTTTTCTGCCTTTTTTCGCACAATAGGTCCTTGCACTGAACATTGTGCCTTGACACGGTAAGCACAGGTGTGAATAATTGAACTAACGATGCTCACTGTCACTCACTGGAGGACTCCAACAGAGCCGGTAAACAGTAACACCTGTGCTTTCCTACAGTCCTTACTGTGTGCTGTGTTTGTAACAAAGGGCAAGATGAGAAAGAGTCAGTGTACTGTAACATGTCTAATTAAAATCAGAACAATCTAAAAGGTATTGGTAATTCTGAGCAGTTTTAACATATATTTGCAATTTCACTTAAAAGATCTTGCAACAAAAATATATGTATTAGGTTTTTTTAATAAATGGTGTCTTTCAATTTATTTTATATATTTATGTTTTATTTTTTCTAAAAACATTAATATATTCTTAAAATATTTTATATTTATCTGTGGACGTGTCAATGACTGAGGGGAAATATTTCTTGCAAAAATGTGTTTTAAAATATATATTTGTGTATTTTGTTCATTTTTAATATATATATTCATATAATATATATTTTAAAAATGTATTCATTTATTTTCTCTAAAACATTACTTTAATATATTAAATGCCGTTTTCTACCTAAATTATATGTAATAATGTAATACATTTACTATATGCATTTATTACGTAATAGATCTTTATGTAATACATTCATATAATATAAAATAGCATTTGGGTTTTGGTTAATGAAATCTTTCACTGTACTTGGTTACCGTTTTGTAGTCGGGAGTGAACCTCTGTCCTGCACACACGCGCTCCCCTCTCCGCCCTCCTATTGGTCCGGAGGAAGCGCCCCTGCTCGGGGGAACCTCCCAGCTGAGAGCGGGCAGAGAACCCGTCAGAACCAGAACCCTGAGAGAACACAGTGTTCCTCCGCACAGATCCGCCTGCAGCTGCTGCACACACTGGGGAAGAGGGTGGAGGGCTTACTCTGTAATTACTAACATGACAATCAACAACTGAGACATGATCCAGAGGGCTGAAAGAAGCTAAAATCTCAAAAGGGAAATGATGTAAGCAAGTGCAAGAATTCTTACTGCTGTGAACAAGACTTCTACCTGCTTTTGATCATGATGAAAAACACATATTTTACCTTTAAACTTTGTTACCGTTAGCGGCAACCTTTTCTTTCACCAGTTGAGAACTGAACGTTTGATTATTTATGAAAATACTTCAGAGACAGTGATGGGAGCCTAGAAGGAAAACGACACACACTCACACCTCATACAGGCACTGCAGTGCAGAGTGAAGAAAACCAAAGGACCCACATGAAGCTTTACACAACTTTATTGAAGATTGTGTATAAATACACATGCACATTTCAAATGTAAACCCAAGTGAACTCAAGTGCAGCCAAACCTGGAAACCCCATTATGTCGTCATGCAAAGATGTCTGGATACTTTTTCATACAAAAAAACAGTCCCATAACAGAACCATCCTTTTTCTTAAAAATATCCCCTCCCTGACGAGAGCACAGGCTAGACTTTGCAAACTGGTGTGTATGCGAGGACACACACGAGCCACGGTTCCCCAACGACAGTTCAGGTCTTTCCGAGGCTTTAGATATATTGTCTGTTTATTATTAAATGCTTACATATAAATAAATAAACTTTATCAAATGTGCACTCACAGAGTGAACTCTTATGTACAGTATTGTATAATAGCGATCAAATCTCACAGTCAGGATGGGATTGGGGGGGTGAGTCGTCCAAAAAGCACGGAGATGCTCAGAAAGGCCTGGTAGCCTACCCGTCTGATATTCTGCGGCGACAGCAGGCGTTTACACTGGAGCGACAAAAAGAAAACACTCCACCATGGAGAATAGTTTATCACATCGATGGAGGAATATCCCGCCTTTACCGATCACGGAAGCTCAGAGGCCTTTTAGGCAGACTCACCCCACAGATTTCAGATTTGTCCCCCTCCCTTTCTCCCTCAAAGCTCAGGACCACAGAGAAGCATTGTGTCCCCCTCTGCAAAGGGACGCATTCAGCAGAGCCCATGATTTCATACAGCTAATATCAAAGGCGATCACATTCAACCAAACCAAGAGAGGGAGAAAAATGACAAATCTGGCCCTGTAGATACTCAAAAAGGCATCAAATGCATTACATCGGGTCATTTCATTATTTCATTCAGCATACATTCTGGCCCTCTTGTGGGTGTCAAGAAGCAGCGTGAGATGACGTTATGGAGCGGACATTCGAGTGTTGGTGTGTGAGGGGATGGTGATGTGCAAAGGAAAAGGCTGAGATTAAGAGTTAAGGCCGAGGTGATCCCAACAAGAGATGATCCATCTGATGTTTCCTAATCTCACAGCGCCTCCGAGATGAAGAGAGCAGAGGCGTGGTGAAGCTTCAAAGCAACACCTGGGGATGAATTCAAGCGGGAGAATAGAAGCGGAGACTTGGTGTGATTAAGACAGAGTGAGACAGTATGTTACTGATTCATATTCGCAGGTAAAATGTGCAAACATCTGAATCTGTCTTGGATAACTTGTCATTATTATATAAAGGAGACAAAAGCAGGACCTTAATTGGCTTAAGTTCATGCCGACGCAGAAGTAACCTGTGTTAAAATGCACAGCAGTAGCAGCACAAAGTTTGGCTGTTCGACACGTTTAAAAAAACAACGATGTTGCTAAAGTCTACGCTGTCCACGCGGCTCACCTCCGGCTCACTGAAGGCAGATGATCCTGTGAGAAAACCCTCTGAGAGTCAGCGTTGTTGTTAAACAGCTGCAGTGTCTGGCGATAACATGTGTAAAAAGAAAAGGAACGTGGATGGTTGGTGATTGTGCAAGTTCAAAACGTGTCAGCGCATCGTGAAAAACCCCGATATAATTCAGTGTTTAAAATATTTACATGATCTAAATGATAATAAAATGATATGCCAACAATGCATTGCTCTCAAAAAAATGATATAAAAATAACACAAAAAGCAGATTAAGAGTCCGTCCCTCATGTCGCTCAGTGACTCTTATTCTGCTAACCCTTAAACGAATGGACGTGGCGTCACACTCACACACACTTTACACACACACACACACACACAGTGATCTGACCACAGAGGAGGGCCCTGATTTCTTAAGAGTTGCGTAACCCGGCAGCTCCCTGACCGAACAGCTGCCCCACCCCCCGTCTGTGGAGGGGGCGGAGTCTGAGCCGCTGGTGGCGCCCGCTGCCATGCTGTGTCCATATGGCTTTGGATGGAAAGATCCTAGTCTCTCTCTCCGTTTATTTTTGTCCCTCGTTTGCCTCAGTTGGTTTTCATGGTGACGTCTCGATTTGGTGCCGACTTCTTCTCCTCCTCCTCCTCACCATTTCCCTGCTCGTTATCGTTCTTCCTGCGGCGGTTCTCGTTCAGGTCCTCCTCCTCGCTCTGAGGGGCAGTAGCAGAGGCAGATGCAGAGGCAGATGCAGAGGCAGATGCAGAGGCAGATGCAGAGGCAGATGCAGAGGCAGATGCAGATGCAGAGGACAAGGCAACCTGAGAGGACGAGGCAACCTGAGAGGAAGAGGTGGCCTTTCTCTCCTCGCCTTCCTTCTCCTCCTCATCTTCTCCTTCCTCCTCCTCCTCCTCCTCTTCCTTGTTTACCTCCTCCTCTTCCTTGTTTACCTCCTCCTCCTCCCCCTCCTCCTCCTCCTCCTCGTCTGCCTCGCGGTCAAGAGAGAAGTAGCCGGTGCCCTTCACCGTGTCCTGCCGCTGGTAGAACAGCACATAGCCTGCTTTGGACTGAAAGAAAACACCAGATAAATACACTTAGCTATCTGCACAAATAACTCATTTCAACTTCTACCAGCTAGACTGTGCATTATTTTATCCTGATGAGTCAACTGGACGATGCTGCATTAATGAGAGCCTGCCTAAATGTTTGTGGATGAACCTACTGTCGGCAAATACTCACTAAAGCACCAAATGTGTGTTATTTTCACCACTGAAGAAGAACTATGTCCTCCTCCCGAGTAACATGTATCGCCTGATCAATGTAAAACACTACATGAAAGGGGAGTCTATAAATAAAAGGTATTGTTATTATTTCTTCGTGTCTCTTTACTTGATAAAAACCTGCATTATCAGTCGTGTCCAGAAAACAGACACCTCATATTTAATGTAAAAGTAGCACAATCACACTTTTTGCCACTATCTACTGTCTTTCAGAAAATGATTCAAGTACCAAATATTTAATAAACATTATTTACAATGATTCCTGTCGTACACAATTCAACAATTATGTGAAATTGTGTTTATAGACGCATTGTCATTATTTTCCAAAAAGGTGATTGATACATACACATCATTTACAGGTATCACCTGGAATGTGCTGTGTGTGACCAAAAACACAGGGCAGGTAAGGATAGTAATATCCACAACTTGTGTGTTGGAGTAATGCTGCACCATGCAGTGGAAATGCAGCAGATGTAGTGGAATCACCAGTGTGTGGTGAGGTGGAAAAGCCTCTACCAACACATCCTAATGAGACTTCAGTGTTGTTCCCATGTGCCAATTACTGTGTATCAAGAGCTGTCCAGGAGCAGGAACCGCTACAGACCCGCACAGCTCCTTGTTAGTGCTGTTTCCACACAGTTGGATGTCTTGGATAAATCAGCAATGTAATCATTAATCCCAATTAGTGACAACCTCAGAAGTGCATTACTTTGATTAAATTCTAGTTTGTGTCCAGCTGAACTGCCACAGATGAATTCACACAAGGACCGCTGCCAACGAGGACACTCACCACTATTTGATCTTCGCTGGCAGGAGACACGCTGCTGTCGTCGAAGTTGTACCACTTCTCGTCGTCTTTGTTCTTGCCGTAAGCCGTGTCTGAGCGAGAGGAGAAGACAGGAATAGACATTAGTTTGCCTTTAACATGTGTACCATTCTGTACTTACACACCACTTAGACCTGCATTTCTAATTCAAAGATTCAATTCAGTGCAATATGGTTTCTGTTTCTTGATACCTTTTTTGGCATTTTGTTTTAGGAACACCCAAACAGAGATGCTAGTGAGCCATTTAAAAAAAGGGCCTTGTTGTGAGTAAACAAACACATACAAAGTCTAAATGTGCCATTTGAACACTTAAAAAAGTAATAGATTACAGTTATTAAAGTACAATGTTTCACTCTACCGTAACGCAAGCATTTGTTGGCTATAATTACAATAACATATCATTTTAGACTCGACAGAAATCTAATCTAATGTAGTTAAAAAATAACTTTAAAGTGCAGCAATCTCCAGTTAGGTTACAGGTTGCTTCAGTCACTAATGTGTCAGGCATATGATACATGCTATATTTGCAGAGCATGTGAAGGTACACACTAATAAAAGTGAACCATTAGGCAGTGATGCTGTGTGCTGGATCTTACAGTGCCCTCCCCCCATCCCTCCGTAGTGGTTGGACACAGCGATGAGGTCGTAGAGACAGGGCCCAGAGTTGGGGTTGATCAGGAACTCTGACATGTCCAGGTCTCTGCAGGAAACACATCACAGTGTACTGTCAGTGGTCATGTGACATGCAATGACTAAATATACGCTGTGGGGGCAGAACCCCTTTGAATGAAGCTTATTTTACTGAATCAGATCGTGGGACGTGTTTCTAATTACGCTCTTAGGGTGCAGGGGAGTATAGTGGTGCAGGGATGATGAATTTTATAGGCCAACCGGAACATTTTGCAGTGGGGTATTTACTGACTTATTTTATATCGTAGAACTAAATGTGAAAATCTCTTCGGCTTGTGTTTACCACAGACCTTATTTCTTCCTTATATCTTACCAAAAACTCATGTCAAAAAACAATGACGAATGATCCAGTTAGTGCTCAAATGCTAACTCACTTCCGGGCTAAGACTCATTCCTATTGATGCATTAGTGTAGGATCGGATGAACGTTGTTTTATTGCCTGTTGTGTGCGTACTTGAGTGGAAAATCCACCAAGGAGTCCAGCTTGTCCCTCATGTAGCGGCTGTAGGAGAAGCGCTTCAGATGGACCACCAGCACCGGGGGCAGACTCCACAGGTCCAGCTTCTTGGTGGCCTGCTGGTGCTCTTTACAGTCCGGACAGTACCTACGGGACAGGAGGGCATTGGATGTGAGCAGATGCAGTGGACTTAATTTGTTTGGCTGTGTACTGATTGTAAGAATGTTTTAAATGTGTGGCGTTCCTCACCATGGGTCCTCTGCTCCCAGTTTCTCCTTGGTGGTGAAAAGTTCGATGCAGTCCTTCAGCTTGAAGTAAGCCTTCTTCTGAGGTTTGTACTCCATGCTCTCGTGCTTTTCAAAGTCCTGTAAACACACATACAGCTGTTAGAAAACCTGCCATATCATTAAAGACGAGGCAGACTGAACTTCTTCTACACTGCACGCTCTGCTGCATTAACACGGTAAAGTTCGATATCTGGATCGGAGAACGTCTTCCGATATTGGCTTTACCTCGACGACGCTCTCGTCAAAGTACTTCTTCCTCATCTCTGGATCCCAGTCCAAGGAGAGATAAGAGCGGTCTGTGAAGAATGAAAGTGGACAGAATACACAAGTAAGACGAGGAAAATCATCATCTTTCAGGATGTTGTTTCACCCCTGCATCTACAGGGTCATTTTCTCTGGTGATAATGATTAATGGATGTGCTGCAAATATCCATGCGTTGTTAAATATCTATTGTTGTCACAGTAACCCTAGATAAATAACAGATTGGAAGTATAGGGTTAATTGTCCTCCCAATATGAGTTCTTTATCCCCTGCACCCCCCTACCGCTGAGTCGGAGGTGTCCCTCGTCGAAGCGGATCTGCCGGGTGTCCTCCTTGATGAGGGAGAAGTCTGTTTTTCCCATGTTGTTGAACTGGAATGTGAATAGTCTCTTCCTGTTGTTCCCCGCCGTCTGCTGGGCCTTGGTGGAGTTTGGCGGAGCGACCACGCCGTTCTCCAGCTCGTTGTCCACCGAGTCCTCTGATTGGCTGTTGTCGTTCTCGGAGGGCAGCTCCTGATCCTGACTCGACTCGTCGTCCTGCTCGTCGGTCTCCATCTCGCCTGAGGGAGGACGGAGGTCGTTGTAAAGCACCGAGGATGTTTCCAGTGGTGGAATGTAACAAAGTACATTTACTCAAGTACATTTTTTTTTCACATTATGCTACTATTCTATACTTTTCCTCCACTACATGTTATAGGCAAATGTTTTACTGCATTTCATTTATTTTACAGATGTGTTAACTAAATACTTGAGGGTTTAGGGGTCGGCAACAGGCGGACCGCGGTCCGGATCCGGACCCAGACGCCGACCTATACGGACCCGGACCTATAATCAATACATTAATAGGGGATTTCAATTTTGACGGGGCGATTCTATTTTAACCGCTGCCGACAGGGGGCGAAAGAGACGAGTGAGCGATACAGGGAGAGAAACACAGAAGAAGAGACGAGAGAGCGGCAGAGAGGAAAGTGAGTGAAGAGAATAATTAGCGATACAGGGAGAGAAGAGTGAACAGGCGTGTTAGCGGCAGACAGGGAGAGACAAATAATTACACATGGCGCTCTCCAAGAAGAGGAAAGTGGACAGTGAGAACAGAGCTTTTAACCCTGAGTGGACGGACTCATTCATGTTCATCCTGCCCACTGGGAGCACAGAGCCAGTGTGGCTCATTTGTTCAGAGACCGTGGCGCTCATTAAAAGTGGCAAAATGCCACTATGAGACAAAATGCAAAGTGTTTGACCAAACATTCCCTCTCAAGTCAAAACTGAGGTCACAAAATACAAGCACTCTCAGAGCCCAATATGATCAGTCCACCAGGATAAATATCGTTCCAGCGCAGGCTAACCGAGGAGGCTAACCAATGAGCACCTGCATGTGTATGAGAATGGCCCTGACTCCATGTCAACCCAGATTTACAAACTCCTGGGAGGACAAGCTCCAGCTCAATTCTCGCACTGAATTTAAACAAAGTGAGTGAGGGACTGCAATATAGGAGGGAAAGAAAGAGAAACTTTAAAACTGTTCAATTGTTATGATGTAAAGACTGATATTGTTCTAATCGTCTGAAACTGTTAAGTCATGATGTGAAACGGTTAACAAATAAAAAGGGAAACTCAAGCTGCTGCTGCTACACTTTATTTTATTTATCTAAAATTAAGCACTTTTAAGATGCACACATTTTCAAAAGCTATTTTATTTATTTTCTCTATTTTATTTTTAAATGCAGCCGGAGAGGAACATTACACATATCCACAGTATTCACTGTATATCTGTATTCAATGTTCATTGACAATAAATATTGTTGTTTATGAATTGTACTTTCTTTATTTGATTGGCAGTCAGTTGTTGATTACATGCAGACGTTGATAAAGCTACAGGTCACTTCAATAATATCACACTAATTCATAAAGCAACTTGGACCAGAGACCTTTGCATGGGGAGATTTTTCTCTAACTGGACCTCGTTGAATTTTAGTTGAATACCCCTGGTTTAGATTATTAATACAAAATGTAAATCAACATATAAAATATTAGATATTTGTATAGGTTAATCTAACCATTATGATCAAATGTAAACCACATAAACCCCAGATTTGCCAAGTGCAACACTGAAGTGATTAACACATCAATTGGTTGTTTTTAAAGTATTCTGGCTTCAAATGAGGGTACTCACTGGGCGACCCCTCCTCCAGAACTCCGTTAGTGGTATTGCCGTTGACAGCGTGTTGTTTTGACGGCTGCGTCTCCTCACAATCCTCCTCTTCCTCCTCTACTGAAGATCGCACAAATCGGCTGCAAGCACAAAATAAGAATCAGAATTCCTTTATTAGTCCCAAAGCAGGGAAATGTACAGCGTTACAGCAAAAAGTGGTTTAGCAGGTAAAAAAAAAGGCATACAATAAAAAAGAATAAGCCAACTTATTAAATATAGAGAAGAAAAGCACACGAGTAATAATACAATTTAAATAACGACAAATAGGTATAGAGCGATGGCTAAAAATGTGGCATATGTGACCTGCTCCATCGAAATCAGTCGCATTGACCCGAAGACACATTTTGAGTTGTATACACTGTTGGAAAGAGGAGATTCATAGCTTTCTAATGATATCAGGATTGTTTTTGTACTCCAAATATTAAGCAAAATATGTCACATTATATAATGACTGTGTGTGCGTGTGTGTGTGTGTGTGTGTGTGTGTGTGTGTGTGTGTGTGTGTGTGTGTGTGTGTGTGTGTGTGTGCGTGTGCGTGTACATGTGTGTTTGTGTATTTTTGCGTTTGTGCGTATTGTGTTTGTTTCCCGGGGAAAACACTCACGAGAAACACCGGCTGTTGTTACGCAAATCCACGTTTATTTTGTACGACGGAGTATTAGAACAAACACACTTAGGAAAAAAAACAGAGAATTCGAGAATAAAGTCGTAATAATACGAGAATAAAGTCATAGTTACGAGAATAAAGTCGTAATATTACTGTACGAGAATAAAGTCATAGTTACGAGAATAAAGTCGTAATATTACTGTACGAGAATAAAGTCAAAGTTACGAGAATAAAGTCGTAATATTACTGTACGAGAATAAAGTCATAGTTACGAGAATAAAGTCGTAATATTACTGTACGAGAATAAAGTCAGTTACGAGAATAAAGTCGTAATGTTACGAGAATAAAGTCATAATTACGAGATTAAAGTCGTAGTTTCATAAGTGACTTGAGAAGGAGACAACAGCAGCGTCCTGCAATAAAATGAGTAATGTGGAGCATCTTGTGAAGCAGTACTTTAGTTTAGGTTTCTCAAATAACTAAATACTTAATCTTTTGGCACATCAGCATCAGATTATCATAAGTATTAGAACTTTGAAAAGGTTGTGCAAGAAACTATGTCTATTATTAACGGACTTGGAGGAGATTGTCTCCTTTCTGCAGGAGGAAATGGCTGGTTCTGGCCGACTACAAGGCGTTGGTTACACATCTACGAGCTGTTCAAAGGGGATTTGTTGTTTCACTAGAAACAATGAGACTTGTAATCAAGGCTTTGGATCCAGAAGGAGTCGAACGATAGCCTTGTAGTGGAATCGGAATGAGCTCCCCATTGAAATCAGGACAGCAGAAAGCTTACACATCTTCCGGCGCAGACTGAAAACTCATCTCTTTGGACTCCACTTCGAGCGATAGAATTACTAACAAAGAATTACTAACAAAGCACTTGTATACTAATAAAGGACTGGCTTATCTAAAGCCAGTTGAGTAGCACTTGAAATGTTTTAGCTCTATGAAACCTGATGTACTTATATGATTCTGTTTTCTTCAAGTTTGTATCTTGTTGGTCGAACGCACTTATTGTAAGTCGCTTTGGATAAAAACGTCAGCTAAATGCAATGTAATGTAGTCGGCCAGAACCAGCCATTTCCTCCTGCAGAAAGGAGACAATCTCCTCCAAGTCCGCTTCTCAAGTCACTTATGAAACTACCACTTTAATCTCGTAATTATGACTTTATTCTCGTAACATTACGACTTTATTCTCGTAATGTTACGACTTTATTCTCGTAATGTTACGACTTTATTCTCGTAATGTTACGACTTTATTCTCGTAACTATTACTTTATTCTCGCATTATTACGACTTTATTCTCGAAATCTCTCTGGTTTTTTTTCTCTAAGTGTGGCCCTAATACTCCGTCGTATTTTTGAAATGAGCCGTTGCGACTTTCGACTGATTTTATGGAGCGGGTCACATATTAGGTGTTGAGACATTATCAAAATGTTAGGACATTTATAAAAATGTATGTTTTGCACAAAAAGTGTCTATATTGCCCACTGCATGGTTATTGCACAGCCTGTATTATGTGGTGGTCTACCAGGGGCCTTGGTCAACCACCACAAAAACTATTTTATTTTACAGCAAGCTTTCATTTTGAAAAAGTACGTTTTACTTTTTTTTTTTACAACTTCTTCTAGAGCAGGGTATATGCAGGAATCCTGAAGTCAAATGTAATACCTTTTAAGACCTTTTTTAAGACCCTTTCCATACATTTTAAGACCTCATCGCCACTTCGAGTTGTAACCGGTTACATTCAGGCAAACTGTAGAATACAACCTCTTTGGACAATTTATATACTTATTGAAAACAAGCTACAAAATGTAATACCTTGGAAAATGCCTTTTAATAGCCTTCATTTTCGCTGAATTGATTGATCAACTTTTAATACTTTTTAAGACCCTGAGGACACCCTGTAGAGTTCTTCTATTTGCTTCCTGATTGCCTGCCAGTGGATTGTAGACGGTGAGCTTGTGCCAATTGGCTATGGAATCAACGATTAATGGCATGATGGATGATTGCTGCTCACCAAAACGTTGCTCTTTGCTCCAATAGAGTAGTTAACATGATGGATATGATTTGGATTGAGATATAACAAGATAAAGCTGTATTGAATGTCATTAATATACTTTTTTCTTGAGGTTCTTAAATGAAGCGTCTGTCATCATATTTTATGACATCACCCCAAAAAAAAGGGGGAAATATGATTTTGTGTTATTGTGGTTATATAATTGTGATTTATGGGGTTGTAAAATAGACCTCTAATATTAACATTAAATCAATGTATGGGAAACACTGATATAACATAAGATAGTGGCCTCATGTTTAACGGAAGCTAACAGATTTTAAAAGGGAGCCATTTCTAGGATAAAAACTGTTTTATTAGTTGATGGAGAAAATACAAGTTGTCTCCTCTTTATGAGTTGTTTGAATGCACTGATACTATGTGTGACTCTGCACTGTGTACGACCTTGCAGCTGCCTCTTCTAATGATAGGAGGAGGCAGGGCATTTCAGGTTGTTGATATTTATGAGAAGACACATACTTGTTGTCTCCTAAATATCTAATTTCTATGGAGGCGTGAAGGAAGAACGTGACTCTTTCCAGAAGACGTCGCAGATGACCCCGACACCACCTTTCCGACACCCGCGGATGATATTAGCGCCACCTCGATTTACGACTTTGTTGTTTTCTATCTCCGTGTTTTGGACTATATAAGCCTGATGTTTTTTGCTGCTCCGGTGAGCAACATACCCCGTGTGTGTGAGTTAACCCATGTCCTTTGTATGTGAATTAACTCTGCTCCTTCTTGCAAGAATAAATTAGAACCTGATTATTGATTCTCAACCTGGTGTCGAGTGATATTTACCTAACATTAGTATTTAAAATAATACTCTTATTTCTATTGAAATTGTTTAACTATCAAAATATAAATAATCCCCCAACTGTACAAGACACCAGCATTACGCAATAAGTGTCAATTTTACACAATGACCTTACGATCAAGATGAGAATAAAGGGACGTACCAGAGGCGCAGCAGCAGCATGTTGTACAGTTTGTCCTCACTGAGGGTCCTGGGGACGGCGAGCAGGAAGGGCTGTCCGAACAGCGGCGTGCTGGTGTGGTTGTAGCCCGACTGTTTGAACTTCTCCCTCAGGTGAACAGGGATCACCACGTGGTCCGTGTCCTCCACCCGGTTCACAGCCAACTCGAATCTGCAAACAGGGGAGGGGTCAGCATTGTGGTGCAGAATTAATCACCTGGTAATATTCAAAATGGGTGACTTTAAACATGCATTAGCAGGGCAGATTAGTGACATTAGATGAAGGGATGTGAATTCCCCTTTAGCTGCCTGTCTCTTAGAAAATAAAGTGGCCCTATTATGCAAATGTTCTGGATCATATTTGTATTTAGTGCCTCTACTGTGACATGTTATGTTCAAAAAGTGTTGTATTTCTCTCATACTGCCTGTGCTGCAGCACCTCTTTTCACCTTCTTGGGATTTTAGCCTTTGCAGACTATTTACATGCACAAACACCTTTATTTCTAAGCTACATAGGCTTAGAAATAAACACAAAATGTTTCCTTTTTGCAGCAAGAGTAAAAAGGAAAATTCTAACTCCTGCATTTTTTTATGTCTTTGGCAAATAAAGCTATTTGAATTGGTGGACAGCCAATGATTCAATGCCTTAAATCTCACAAAAAAACATCAGTAATAAGGTCAAAACACTAAATTGAATTTATCTGTGAAGTGTTCAAACCAATGATAAAACAGCCAGATCATTTACACCACGCATTACATCTTATTTTATGGGGTGTTATGCCGTTTCAAACTTTAGATGACAGATTAAGCAAGGTTGACACTCACACATAGATATCGTCTCTTTCCATGATGCTGCTGAGGTTCTCGTTGGTGGCAAAGATCCGATGGAAACGGTGGTTGTAGATGTCAGTTACAATCATCTGGGGTGAGGAGAAAAGTAGTCAGAAGACTCTTGGAAATGTAGGCATGTCAGCTAATTGGTGATTCTTGTTGGTACGCAGAATTAAGATGTTGGACAAAGATACAACAGTCTATTCCATTAGCTGATAAAGATAGGTAGGCAGGGAGAGTTTAACAACTATTTTGTCTGCAGATGATGTTTATACCTTCTCAGCAGGCACCTCCGTCAGGTTTGAAAGCGAGATGCACAGGTCAGAGATGGAGCCCACCTTCGGTACAGTCAGCTTGTACTAAAAACAGAAACACATCACATGAGATCAGATCGTCAGGGAGCCAGAAGTAGTGCCGTTCAGGGGGTTTCCCATCTTACCTGTGTGGGTTTGGCCAGAGGGTCCAGTCTGACCAGATAGACCTCCAGTGTCCGCTCCTTCCTCATGGGCAGAGGCAGCGTCAAGTAGCAGAAAGGGTCAAAGGTCACAGAGACCTTGGAGCACACAGGACACACCAGGGTGGATTTGAAGAGGCCGTGGAAGATGTCCACAATGATGGAGTTGTTTCTCTTGATGTGGTTCTCCCATGCCTCCTCCGCCACCACCTGAGATAAACAGAAAAAAACAAACATGATATTGTTATAATGTATTGTTTTAAACTTTTTACCATTGTTTTTAGCAACTTATACCAACAAATTAACACTTTTGCATCCAGTTTGTTTCCTTGTCACCTTATCAGACCTGCCATTAGCGTCCTTTAGCTGGATGTAGGGCTTCTTCCTGATGCGGTTCAAGTCTTCGTGGAGGCCGTCCAGCAGGAAGGCCAGAAGCTCGTGAGAGTCCTGCTGTTGGTAGCCCGAGAACTGCGGGGCGAAGTGGCCCACCTGGGTCTGCAGAGGGAAAATGGAGGAAGCGTTTAAACAGAATGAAAGTAGAAAAACCTAGGATATTTTACACCCTATTTTAGAAAAAGCTAACATTTCTTGTAAGACTTTATCACCAGACCCTTTGTGAGTTAACCCCCACAGTTCTGTGCAGCCAAATTACTGATTTCACACGTTACATGTTTTATTTTAAGATTCAACCTGAAGATAGTTGCACTTTAAGACCCTTCACTGACCAGTATTCTAGACTGATGCATTTCTTAGTCTGCTCCTTTTCTACTTGTGAGTGTATATCTTTCAATGATAGTGTTGTTTATTCTCCAAAGACATACTTTTGCTTCCTGCTCCAACTGCCTTACTCCGGTCTGACACAATGATACTGCTTTTACAGCACTTCCTTTCCAAAAATGTGTAAACAAAAACATTGAACCCAACATTTTGCAATTCTCAGTTTTTCCAGGAAGTCACCTTGAAAGGCCTCGGGGTGACGTAGCTGAATTTACCCGACCACAGCTGCTTGATAAGCTCGGCGTAGGCTTTGGCAATCTCTCCCTTCATGCCCAGTGGGTTGCCCTCGTTCAGCTCCTCTGTGAACTTGTCCTTAAGGAAGTACTCCGTCAGTGGAGGGATATTGCTTAAACACTGCAAAAAGCAAAGAGAGGACAATAATCAGCAGATGCCATCACATCCTTTCCTTGTTTGAAATACTTGTCATTATATTTGCATATACAGATTGTTTCAAATTAAAAGGTTCCCTTACCTGCACAGCAGAGTTCATGAAGCAGGTGTTGCCCAAGTTGGAGAGTCCACAGAGGCCTGAGCGCTCACTCTGCCGGCTCTGGTCTGTGTAGTCATAGCTGTTGCTGTATGGGTGGTAGGATGGTAGACTATAGCTTGAATTCTTCACACTGTGCAATAAACATACAAAAGCACATTATATACAGTTGGATAAGATTTGTCAAATTGCTACGAGAAAATAAAAGGAACATCCCATTCAGTTTGCACCATTTCCACTTCAATAGAGCACCAAACTACAACCAAAACCTAAACCCCGCCCCCAAAATAGCTCTCTGGCTTCCTGGGTAATCACAGGAAAGTTAAAGCTTCTCCAACCAGCAGACCTCTGGGGGGGCTTGTTGGTGGTTTCTGGCTCCCACTGGTCTAGGGACACAGCAGTGATGGCGGTGGAGGCGCTGGCCTCGCAGTTCAGCACACGGTGGTCCACCCTCCGGCTCTCCAGCTCCACCGCCTCAGGCCTCAGGCACCACCAGCAACACAGGAGCATGACATCTCAGCCCCGCCCCGGCCCACATGTCAGCTGGAAACTGAAGCACCGGTAGGGTTCAGTTTGGGCCCCGGTGCACGCAAAGTCTGGATCTTATAGGCCCGGGAATAAAAGTCCACCTTTGGTCTCCAAGGTTGAGTCCTGGTGTCTCCTCAGCTGAACCCAGTAGCTGTTTGGATGTAGTCCGAAAACCAACTAAATATGACTTCCAAGTCCAGCCGATAATCAATCCACAGAACGCAGTAAACACACACTCCTCCTCTATCTGACAGCTATCGAAGCAGCTCCCCTGCTCTCCTCTCTCCCCTGCTCTCCTCTCTCCCTGCTTCATTTTCCGCCTGTTATCTTGTTATCCTCTCTGCCTCAGATCCCTTCCCTCTGTCCCGTCCACTGGTCTCCGCTCCTCCCTCTGGCCTGCCTGCTGCTCTCTGCCGCTCTACGGATACCGGCAGATATTTATAGCAGCATCAGCAGCAGCAGCAGCAAAGGATGCTCAAGACTACCGCTATCGAAAGCTAGAGGTGCACAGAGAGAGGGAGGAGAGGCAGAGAGAATAGGGGGGTGGGGCAGACAGTGGGGGGGGAACAGAAGCTACATGAGATGGGGATGGAGGGAGCAGCTGATCCACTGCATCCAGCTGAGGCTGCAGTATGCATGGGCCTGTTAGTGTCTCTCTACCTCTTTAACACACACACACACACACACACACATTAACACATGCTCATTCAGCCCCCTCTTTCACACATTACACTGCGCTCCTCTACACACACACTTGTTCTCCTCTCCGTGTTAGCCACACACTTTGACAGTCCCTCTTTTATCTTTTTAATATGCCACGGCTGTCTGTTTTTTTTTTTTTAAAGGGGGCAGGGGCTACATAAATAAACTACGATCTAACTGAAGAAAAAAGGGTTTCATCAGAGGGGTGTGAAGGGGAGCAAATGAAATGTATTCTGAAGGTCACTTACACTGCAGAATGTGTGCATCGCAATGAGCTGGGGGGGGGGGGGGGGGGGGGGAGGAGGTAGGGGGGGGGGGGGAATTATGTGACACAGCCTCGTAAAACGTACTGTATTGCTACCAGGCCAAAAACCGCAAAAGACAAGTGTTATGTAATGCGGGAACACTTCATATGAAGGGGGGAAAAAGAGAAAAAAAGCCCCCATGCATAATTCAGAGGAAACGACAGCTCTGGCACTACAGTGAATCAGGGACAAGGAGGAGAGCTGCTGGGAGTAAAGACCCAATTGCCCCAAGTCACCCAGGAGAAGATGCCACTGCTATCAAACAGCATGAAGCAGAGCTGTGAGATGATCGCGTGTAACCGTACACCAAGATATCAGGAAGAAGCAGCTCGGCCGGCTCTCCTTCTTGATCAATATGGATTTTTCAGGGTGGCTGAGCTTGTGGCTATTATTTCTGCCTTCCAACGGTATCAAAGGGAAATACAACGCAGCAGTGTCTTTATCCACACGCAGGGGCACTCTCCAGCAGCATGCAGTAAATCACACGCATAAAGGTGGAAGGGGTGTACTCGACAGCAGAAGGGAGAGCTCCACCCACAGTGGAGCAGTGCTCTCTATCAGGGCTGACGGAGCCCCGAGGTCCCCGTGATTTAACAACAAACCTTAATGAAGGCTGCACTGACATTTACCCGAAAGTGAACAGAGGAAAGAAATGAGCTGTAATTCATTTTGGCACAGCAGGAGATCTATCCGAATGATTGACTTGCTTCACCTGTCTCTTGTGTTAACATCGTGAAGGACAGTAACACAAATCTATACTTTGAATTTCCTTACCCAGGATCCAGGACTGATTTAATCCAGTTTGAGTGACATGTCTATGAGTTTAAAGGCTTATCAAACACCAACAAAGATCCACATATCAGGATATTTGCAACTTCGAATAATTATTATGCCAACTTTTATTTGATCTTTCATTGGTTGTGAGGTAAACAGTAGAAATAGGCCTTTCCTTGAACCTTTTTTGATACCAGGAATATTCCTTTGCACATTTTTGATTGGCTAAAAAAGCACTATGGAGGAGGGTAGTGTGTAACCACATCAGGCATATTTCCAGAGGATCCTGCATTTCTTTTTCCAAGAAAACTCACAGGTTTAGCAAAAATCATGGATCAGATTAAAGAAAATCATCCTAAATTGGAATATGAAAAATAATCAGTCCATTAAAGTACATACTGTTGTCTGGATATTGCTCGAAGTTTAATTAGATAACAAACCAAGCGGTTCTCAGGCTTGTCGTTGTGCACCAAAAAAATAACCTAAAAGTTAATTATTTGAAAATGATTTACAACTAGGTGTTGTATTAGACAGAAGGGTGTAAGCAAGACCTATTAGCTCTCAGTAATGGGTAAAATAATTATCCCATTAGCCGTAACCATGCAGCCCGAGCCAGAGCTATCAATCATTGAGGTAGAATATCAGATGCAAACTATCAACTAGCATAATGAAATGCTGAGTAAGGCACCGGCCGGCCACTTATAGAGAGCACTGCTGTCGTTGGAGAAAGTTCAAAGAATCAATCTTTCGTAAGCCCCCCCCCCCCCCCACTTAGCAAGCAATCCCCTCCCTGATTGATGCTTTTAAAGCTGAATCTGCTTCATCACAAAAAAGCATTTAGACCAACCAAAGGCAGAGATAGACCTGTATGAGGAAGTTCTTCAAACTTCATACTGGTTTCTGTTAGCGAAGTGAATTAGGAATGAGTGCAAATTGAAAGGAAGTTCCCTCTTTTTAAAGGGATTTCTGCAGGAATTAAAATAAAGAATGCCAGTTAATGTGAAGGTTTTTGCTGAGTAATACTACACACTATCTCTGGCTGTTGGCATCCAAACCCCGCCTCCCCCGCTCGGCTAATTCACCCACAACTAAGCCTTACTTCCTGCTGTTGAAGCTGCTGTTATGATTGTTTGTGAGAGATGAAGGCGAGATCTTTGGCAAAGCACAGAGATTGGAAGCACCAGATGACCTTCAAAAGATAAAGAATAGATCATGAGTTAGAGTAGTGGAAAAATAAGGAGTCGTTCCAGAAAGGTGTGCCCAACAAAAAGTGTCCACAAAATAAAAGCTGAGATGATTCAGAAACGAGTGGGAGGGGATATGTGAGCAACTCAAGGTCAAGCAAAAGACTGAAAGTCATAGAGAGGACATCTTTGAAGATGATGAGGTGCTCTAGTGGCAGAGCAGGAAACTAGATTTTAAAATGTACATGATTACATTTTGCAATTAAGGATGAGGAGTACATTTAAAAGTGTTTTCAGAAAGCTCCCCAAAGGCGAATCAGCATTGGTAACAGTGTGGAAATAGCGTTTTTTATTTCTGTGGCTACATTGTCTTTTAGTCAACAAAGAAGGAGGTGGCGTTCACTCACTTGGGTGCCTTGGAGCCTCGGGGCCAAGAGCCGTCCACAGCCTTCTGCTCTATTACGAGAACCTGTGGGAGACAGAAAAGAGAAAGTAGGGCTCCATCTGCTTCCAAACTTTTAAGTCAAATGTACTTCAAGTATTTGCTTCCTTTACTGCTGTCTAGTGAACAGAAGTGGTTGTGTGCGATCAGAGGAATGAAAGCTAAATAGTTGGATTGATTTTGAGTTGGAGGAATGGTTGGGGCAGGGCAATATGGACAAAGTGAAATATCTCAATTACCTCGATATCTAACAATTGTAAAACACCTGTTCCGTATTGAAGCATGTTTTAACTTTTTAATTGTTATGTTTATAATTTGCTAGGTGTCAGCTTTGCTGTTCTCTGTCACCATAGATTTGCATTAACAACTTCCATATTCAGACTTTTAAGTACCTACAATACTTGCTTAGGTTAGGTGTTCACCCATGAGAGAAACTGGGTGGATAATCGAAGCAGTGATGATACAAAAAAGACAAAAGCACCACCTAAAGAGACTCACACTCCAAAGACTACACTTGTCATAGTTTGAGTCTGGCGTATAGAGTATAGAGAATAGTTATTGAAGACTTTGCATGGAGATTAGTTAGACTGCCCTCTGCAGGTCATGACAACCTGTTGGATACAGATTTAAACAAATCAGAGAAATAATGGTTTTCCTGAAGCTCCACTTTCCTGTGATTTTGAAGGGTACAAATAAGGGGAAAGCGTTCCACAAAGGGAGATTGTAACTAGAGCATATTTCACTTCATAATAATAATTCATTACATTTATTAGAGCACTTTTCCGAATACTCAAAGCGCTTTATATCCACTTAGTTAAAGGTAGGGTAGGTAAGAATGGAGAAAGCAGCTCGAGTGCACTAGAATTTGAAAGTATGCAGCCGAAAGAAATCGGCCCCTTCCTTCAGACTTCCTCACAGAGCCCCTCCTCCAACACACACGAACGCGCACATGACCAATGAGGGCACGAGATAAGTTTGTGCACAGATGGAAGGCTGACAGGCAGGTAGGCCATCCAGTTACCTTAGCCGGGCCGGCTCAAATGATTAGTCATGCTTTTTACAGCGCCACGGCTTCCACAGATGACATTTTTTATGTATTTATTGTCAAAGCATTTCATGTATTCATTGCTATCGGGATGTTAAGAGCATTCCATGGAATATAACAAAAAGTGTTTCTGAAGTGAATGACCTACCCCACCTTTAAGGAAAAACAACCGTCTACATAGTGAGCCATATTTGACCTGCTTTGAGGACATTTTGTCCACCATGTCTTTTTTCTTTATGTCTTGAAAAGAAAGCGTTAAAGTGCTCCCAGCGACAGTTTCTGATAAAACAACCAGAAGTCCCTACCTGTCCTTGGTACAGTCCGGCGTCTTGAATGGTGCTGTCGGGTTTGTTGAGAGGCTCAAAGGTGTTGCTCATGTAGCGGTTCCACATCCTGGTCTCCTTCTCATCAGTGATGCTGAACAGCTTCCTCATCTCCTTCTCGATCATGTCTGCAGGAAAAGAGTAATAATACAAATTAAAAATAAATGTAATTAGCGATGGTTATTAGTGGTGAAGAGTAAAATAACAAGTAATGGTGTGTAAGTTCTTCTTTTTTTTCATCAACAGACATTACACAATTATTCAAGTATTGTCTACAAATCCGCTTTACTCCATAGACATGATCATGTGTTGTTAAATCATGAAAATTGTTGATTCGTATTTTAATGGTTGCCCAAATCAGACAAAAGATTAAATGCAAGCAGTTGGATAACAAGTTTACAATAAAGAGTCTTTACCACTGGACAAAAAGCTACAAACACCACATAAGGCTTTTGTCTTCAGGGACTGTGGGAAAGCTTCAAATCTACATTTAAACCTTGAAACAAATTACTCCGTAGGATTCACAGATATTTAATTTCTACAACTCCGATCAACAGTGATGCAAACATGACATCCGAGTGGACACGGGTGCAGGCTTGGATTTTCGTCATTTTAGGGGCAAAGCCATTTGGCCTTTGGTGTCACACATTTTTTCAGGGCGGAAAGGCCACATGTCAGGGCACAAAGGCCATTGAGGGAACAATTTGGATTTGGAGCTTACAAATAAATAACTTCACTTTCTAATGACAAAAAACAAATCACTTTTTTAATATCAATAATCGTATCATCATATAGGCCTATGCCTCCTAGTATTACCGTATATAAAATGAAATACTTTACTTTGAATAATTAGTGTTTGGTATGTTTTCCATCTACTACTACTCCCATTCACAAATCCGAAATGAAATCTAAAAATCAAAATTCTATTAATATGTAATATATTCCATTTCAGAGCAGAAGAAACAGCTTTCGAAGGTCAAACTCTGCACATACATCATTCAGCAGTGAAGCTCCAACATCCAACTGTATGAACAAGCGAAAGTGTGTGTGTGTGTGTGTGTGTGTGTGTGTGTGTGTGTGTGTGTGTGTGTGTGTGTGCGTGTGTGTGTGTGTGTGTGTCTCTTTAATCAACTCCTCACAGCTCCTCATATCTGTTCAGAAACTGGACAAAAGTAAAAGATGTACA